ACCGGACACTCGTTGGTTCGTGTCGGATGCCCGTTTTGAAACTAACACTAAATATTTGTTCTTCAATTGTGTTGGGTATCCCGCCATTATTTCTACAGATTTTATTCCAAATTTATATCTAACTGTAGCCCATGCTCCTAGTGATATGAACAATATGACGTTATATGACATTAAAGATGTTGTAGGACACAATGTGTCCACTCGAGATCATGAATGTTTCAGAAGAAGGCAGGACCCTTGTTTATTCATAAGTGGACCAGAGGGAATGCTGTTAAAATATTGGGAGTACGTTTATGAAAAACGGTATGACTTTATATCGACTGCTGTTGATAATTTGGACATATTTGAAGGATTTTAAAAAAGATACAGTAACCAACTTGGACTTCAAGATTTGGTGTCCTTCTTTATTTGTCCACCTGTAGTCTTTTCATACAATCTGGGGGTTAGATGGCCGAATGGTTAGCACGTGCTTTACTAGATAACAAACCTCACCTCTCAACCCTCCGTGTACATCAGTATATATCTACGTTCTCGTAGCTAATGCTTTACACGTGGCCCATGATTTTGCATGAAGAACAAAATCCCCCCCCCAAAAAAAAAAAATTATATGTGTGTGTTGGGGGAGGGGGTGGGGGGTAGCAGTCCCTCCCAGTGCCACCGGCTAATATAGGGTTGTATGGAACATGATAGAGTCGATTTGTAGCATATCTGACCCATGAATCTGTTTGATATTGGTAAAGCATTATGATTATAATGTTGAAAACCGCATTGGAGCCGCATGATTTTTGCCATTTGCGAGGAGGCGTAAAAACTCAAAACCATGACGCAAAACGTGTCATTGCTTCCCTCTAACTTGGGCCCTGCTTAACATATAACTAGCTAATCCACAATGAAAATGAAGCCGTATCGCATATTTCTATGAAAAGTCCAACAGCTAGGCTACTCGAGATTTTACGATGTAACGTCATAGACAATTTGTCACGTTTCCAGCGAAACGTCGAATCTGATTTTCCAATTTTGAGTTTTTACGTAGTGCTCTGTACATTCTGGTTAATCTGCACTTATGACGTGATATTCTACTACACAGACGATCGGGAGCCACGGTGGCTGAGTGGTTAAAACGCTGGCTCGCTAGCCTGGGGGTCGGTTTAATGTGTTGTTTCTATTTTTATATGGAGCCATGGTGGCTCAGTGGGTAAGACGTTCGCTCGCTAACCTGGAGGTCCTGTTTTCAATCCCTGCCGAGAAAGTTCATCCAGATTTTCCGGCGTGGTTCCCCCCTGTAAGTGATGCAGGACGGAGGGCCCTACAAGGAAAGCTGTCTAGTCCTTTGGGTGATACGAAAAACCGAGGTCCCGTTTATACATTGCCTTGGAAGTCAAGCTGTGCACATGAGCATGCATTCCTCTGTTAAGTGTGGAAGCCTATTGTGGCCATTTCATTAAGAAAACCAGATATATATCCAACCCTTGACAATACTGGTCTTACCTTTTCATTACAAAATCTATTCGTATTATAACCACACGTGTCGCAGCCTTTGTCTACTTCTCTTTTTTGAGGAGAGGCAACTGAACTGTTAAATATGCATGATATTTTATTATCTTTTACATGCGCACGTTTTGTTTTGTATTTCCATATGTTTTGTACCCTGTGTGTGGGTTTTGTACTGTCTGGTTATGTGATTTTATACTTTGTAAGTTTTGTTTCGTATTTTCATATATGTATATATATATGTATCATGTAATGTAGGCAGGTTCTATACTGCCTATTTATATGCGTGCTCTGAATTTATACCCATCCATATTTTTGTTCCCGTCCAAATTTTTGTACTTGTATTTGATATCTTGCATATTCTATGCCATCCTCAAAGGACGTTCCGGTGGAATGAAATTCTTCTTCTTCTTCATATTATACAACGGTACTAGTGATCGTCTAATGAAATCTCCAAACAACCAAATTCCCAGATTCGTCGGCACGCGAAAAACGCGACGAATTATTGCTCTATTCAAAAAAGTCGCTTCCAAAATGTTAAAAGCAGTACCAAAAAGAGAAACTGTTCGGTGCCTATTTTAATGGTTCATGTTATACTTCAAAACCCCAAAAAAACATTTAATTCAATATAATATTGTGACGATATGTGTTGACAAGTATTCGTATGAATCAGTGACGGGTCATGAGGGCGTCCGGGGGTCCTAACTTCTAAGCCGTTAGTGTCGACAGGATTAGTAATCTGAATGAAGTTGTTGCAGATCATATTCCTGAATAGTGCTGAATTTGTTTCTTCGCGAATATATCCAGAGACGATGACACCGGTTCGCGATTCTTCTTGTTGAGCGAGCTGATAGAGTGACAAAACGGGGGCCCGACGAAAATATTTGACAACTGTAGTGATATGCAGTCTATGAGTGCATGTAACCGCAATCTGAACGACAGACTCACCCTACCTGCAGAGAAGTGACTCTGACACAGTGAATAGCCATGATATCCATATGATGTTATCTAAACGTCACAGGTCATGAGGTCACATCAACAAACAAATGTAAACACTATCATTATGATCATTATCAACATTACAAGACACAATGTTACATTGTAAACTACAGCCTTCTTGCAGCCTTTAGGACTGTATAATCCGTACAGAACGTCTTATCGCTTCTTCCAATGATTTTTCACAAAAATAACATCATCTGCAACTCTAGATTTGACGTCGGCATATTGGCACTATTTTGTGCTTCGGTCGTGTCTATTTCAGATATACACAATCAATTCTGTTAATGTTTTTAGCGTGGGGATTGACTAAAAGTTAATTTATTTCAGTTCTAAACAAAAATTTAAAACTTTAACGCAATTTTAAAAAAATAGCCAAATTATGGCTGGGATTACTGAGCAAAATGGCCATTCACTGTATACGTGCGAAAAAAAAAAGCCAGCTACCATTTAATTTTCGTACGTTAGTTAGGTACGATAGTAACCGCTGGCTACAAGTACACAATTTCGTCAGGTGTTCTTATGTGCACTTAAATATTTCCCCATCAGTAATCTCACATTTTGACATAAACTATTTTAAAAAATTTAACTTCTGTTTTGCATGCCAACCAAAACAATTACATTGTTATCACGCGCCACTGAATGCATAAACATTATTAGATTAGAACTTTGTCGATAGCAATTGCCTGTGCACCCATTCACTCGGAACACAGTCTATATTTATATAAACATGACAATCAGAACATACTCAGCTTTTAATTACACATTTTAACAACATGTTATATATAAGCATACAGCGAGACGACGAAAGTAGACAATTATATTAAATATACATTAAAAAGCAAAATTCAATGACACAAAATAACATAAAATTATATACGGACAATATCTACAGTATTATCTTTATCCACTTTTCGAAAAGGTGTCTTATTCTCACCTTATCCTCTATTTAAATTCATGTTTAATGACAGGTGGCCTACTTTATTTTATGGTAGCAATTTTTTTCAACATAACTTAAACCTTACATTCAAAAGTTAAGTTACTTAAGTTAGCCTTTACTCGACTAACATCATAACACTGAAATATGGACTAAGAGTTTCAAAATGATATTAGCTCTAGCTAAACACATATACGGACGACACAAACAACACAAATGCTAGAAATCTAACCTTACCGGTATATTTAAAAGTTAAATTAAATTAATTTTGAAACTTGGACTAAGAATCTCAAAATTATATTAGCTCTACTTAGCTAAACACATAATCGAATTTTATTCCCTATTCCATTTCCTTTATAGTTATACTAAGAAAACAAAAATATTTGTAACCTACCCCCTAGACCCACTTTAAATCCAACTTGACATTTTTTACTCCAGGTCATAAACAATATCATATTTTCTACATTTAAAATACCTAGCTACTCATATTATATTGTTTATAAACTTGTCCATCAAAACTTAATAATGAATATATTTTATTCCCATATAAACTGATTTACATTCAATCGTTTCTGTTTTTATTGAATTTCTAATCAGTTACAGTGTTGGGCGAAATACGCCAAAAGTATCAATCTAATGGCAATCTCTAGCGTCTTGTTATTCCAATCTACATCGATAGTATACTCAAAGCCATTAAAAACGCAATTCCTAATTCGTGAAATATTTCTGGTAAACGTTTTCTTGGGCTTTCCTATTTTATGGCACATAGTTGAAACTTGTGATGGGACTCCTTTTGTGGAGTTCTGGGTTTGAACCCAATATCAGTTCTCGGTAATGAACTTTGTTCGTGCAAACGCAACATTTGTCTTTTTTTACGATATTAAGCACACGTTTTGCACATGCATTCCCTGCACTCTGGCCCTTTAAATACAGATTAATATTTCAACATTCATGACTTCGGAAAAATGTCACGCCTTACACACAAGAAAACAGGAACAGAGCTATTGGCATGTTGGATCAGGGGGTTTCACAGGTAGCCGTCGCCGTTTGACATGACTTGTAGAATAATTATGTCTAGCCGATCGTTCGAGTCCCTTGTTACAAAAGGCGCTGAAACGCATTATGGTACACGATGCGTGTACCAATGGTAAACTGTTTATTTTGTCTTAAATATTGGATATCAGAAGCCCACCTTTTCCCAGTAAGATCACAACATCAATGTTGATTTAAATTGACAACTTTGGTTCAAGATTTTATTACTTACCGGTTCTTTTAAATGTTTAAAAAAATATCACGTTTACTGATCTTTTAGAACTTTATAACCTGCATTAAGCTTATAGATAAATTACAAAAGTACAGAATGCTATAAATACTGATCATCGTGTTGTTCCTAGTCTCACTATATTAACAGTTTCAAATTTTAGTTTGTGTATTTCGATTGCCCCATGCGTCGGCGATGATATTGCCACTGCCCTGGTCAAAAGAGACGCTTGCGTCCATTCTGCCTGGATGTTGAAGACCAACATGGCCAAAAGGGAAACAACTCTATCTTGCTTCCGTGGCGCGCGCTGAACCGGAATTCCTAAATATTTGTTGTTAAGTGAAATATTTCACCATTTATATCTCAAAAGTTACAAAATTATGCTTTCATTTACGAATGAATTAAATGAATTATTGGTGCAATATCATTTCGAAAGTTCATAAATAACATCTAGTGATATTTCACATTTATTTTGGTATCGATTCAATTTGTTTTCCCAGTGTTTTGGTTTGTGTTCACCGTTGCTATCTAAAAATAAATCAATATTGATGCAAATTAAGCGCTGTATGGCGGTCGTATGAATGTTCATCCTTCCATACAAATCTTGTCCCAGCTTGTTTTAGATACCAAAGGAAAACTGGAGAGTTGAAATGGTAAGAAGCGTGTGCTAGAAATAGACAGCAAAAAACAGTTTTAAAAAAGTTTAACGTGATATTAAAGACTGGGAACTTTTTCAATCTCAGACTCAATGCTGTCACAATAAATTTATACCATTACCATATGGCAATTGTAATTGATTGATATGAAATAAGGCAGAATCTACCATCAAATACCATAATCAAGCGTCAATTCATCTAAAAAATAGACAATAGAGTGACAGATTGGGGGTTTGAGGTGGGGGGGGGGGCGGCGGATATTTCTGCATCTTCACATTCTTAGAATTTCTAAAATTTGACTTCCGATATCACGCTTACACTTTTATGATTAAAATTTAACAAAATTAACATATTTATAACATCCAAAGGCAAACCCACCTTCACTGTCACCTGCACCTGATGATATTCTGTTATGTAATTTCTATGCTTTAGGTGGTGGTTGGAACACATCAACAATACAATAGTTTTGAAACAGAAATCTAAAGTGATCGATGATCATAATAATAGCTATATAAGTTTCCCCATACAATCTTGCCAGATTTACAAGACTACATGTACATAGTATTTTTTTCAAAGCACAGCCTTCATGTTTTGAAAGCATGGATTTTTTTATCAAGAGGCATGTTAAAATAGGCCCTGATTATTGTTTGCTTATGTAGGCTATTATACAATAACTGAGATTTCTTATGTGACAACTGAACAATTAATTAGGTTACTTGCATTTAGTGCAATTACATAAACTTAATTGATGAAAGAAATGCTTCAGTTAAAACTATTGACCTGTTTGCCATCAGAAAAGCAACAATGCTTCCTGTTATCTATTTTAGTATTAAAGTGCAGCATCAAACAAATCCTTGAGATTTTTATTGATTTTATTTCAGCAATAATTAAAGATGTCTAGTGCGTTAGTAGATACAGATATAGATCGGTTTATCAGAGAACAGAAATCAAAACTAGCTTCTGAAAAACATGACTTGAACGTAAGTACTGGTTAATGACAAATTGGTATATGATTTCAATTTATCTATGACTTCACAGTGTCTAAAAAAAAATAAAACAAGGTACATGGTATTGTTCCTCTTTGTAAAGTCCTTGATACAACTTTTCATTTGTATGGAAAATTCACATAGCAACAAATGTCATCAAAATAAAATAACTATTCTTCCGTGTACCATGACTGTTCTCTTTGAGTCACCTTTGGTTAGTGGAACTACCTCACATAATGCACGTCTTTTTGATGTTTGATGTGGTTACATCACTTTCTACCACACAGAGATTTATTGACTGCTAATTCTGAATTGTCTCTCAGGACAATTAATTAGTGTATCACCGTTTTAATCAATGTTGTCACAGTAACGAGAGACACTTCATTATTTGTTTATGACATGATTTTGTTGAATTCCTTTGAGGTTTCAAGCCTGATGTAACACACATTATCCATCTACATATATATATTGTTGTTTTGACTTCGCTTGATATTTGTTGTGTTACACATAGTGGCATCAATTATAATACATTCAAATACATTGAACTACATTCACTCTACACCAAAGAAATCATTAATTTGATTTATTGATAAGTAGAGAAAATATATGTAGAACCAAGTTTTTAAATAGTCTAGGATAATATTTCAGGTACAGCATTTATGTCAAAAGTCTGAATTTTCTTTTTTAGGACAGATTTAATGCAGCTGAAAATATTTGGTTGATTTTTGACAAATTTTATCTTTGTATGTCTGGAATTTATGTTTTTTATCTTTGTAAAGTCATGTGATATTTATATTGTCCAATAGGAAGATGATAATTACTTTAAAACTAGTCGTCGACAATGGGCAGAGCCTGATAAAGAGAATTTTATAATAGCCGGTAGTAATGAGGTACGAGTGATGATATTGTAGGATTGACTGTAGAATAATAGCATTGTGAAAACCCCTTTGTCTCTCATTAACAAGTCAATTCTGGGTTTCTGATAGCAAAAACAATTGTTTTTATCCAATAATTTCTGTACAGCATAGGATTTAAAATAATTATGGAATGGGATGACTTGCTCAGAAAATCCATGACATTTTCCGTTTTAAAAAAACGTTTCAGATGACTCAGTCAGTAAATCCATTACATGTTCCATATAAAAAAATTGTCACTAGCAAAATGAATGTTTTCACTATCTTGAACCCAGTGGAACAATACTAACTGATAAAGACAATAGCCTTACGAAATTGTGTGTCACCTTTCTTCTAAAGCTATTTTTCTTCTTTACTCTAACCATGTTCCCGTTTATTGTTAGGTTACTAATATATTTATGAACTTGTATCAGTGGCATAACTAATGTTCAGTTTTCATTAAAATAACTCTTAACCATTCTGTGTTGATGCTTTTCATACTTGTGTGCTCCAGCTACAGCTCAAGCAATTGCGATTTAAAATACTGATTGTTATAGTTCTGTCTCTGTCTCTTTCTTCATTCTTACTTTGTAGATTTAGCAAATCTCGAACTGATGAAATAGTAATTATTATTAATTTCATTTTTAAATATGAAGACATGAAAAATATTATTGATGTAAAATTTGTTTAGTTTCTCTAAGATTATTTCCTACCTGTAACTCACTATGCTATGCAAGTTTGAGCCCCAAATATAATCTCGACAGTGAGTAGTATATATGCAAGCTTCCTGTACTGCTTTCTTTATTTGCTTGTTATCTTTTTAATTATTTGTAATGTGGTTATACCGGTATATTGTTGTCACTTCTGTCCGTCGGTCTGCCCGTTGGCAGGTACTTGGTTAGTCTTATACTATAGTGTAAGTGGGTGGTTAGTATTGGGGTACTAGATGATCCTCATTGATTTTGACTATTTCGCAAAAGTAGTTACAGTGTTAAGATCCCTTAAAATGAGTGTTGATCAAAGTATATATTACCAATCTCATACTCACTCCATAGTGTGCGTTTCTCAACCGATTTGAACAAAATAGTTGATAATGGGGTAAGGAGGATCACTATAGATTTTGAGTATTTTCACAAAAAACATGTCATTTAATATACAGCCATTTAAGTACATAGATTGTATTGTGGTAAAAAATCTCTTTCAATTGGCAGGCATTTTTGCAAAAGTAGGTCCCTGACATATTTTCATTAATAGCTTACAATTCTGTACTCTTACTCACTCTAGAGATTACAGCTTCCAAACCATTTTCATCAAATTTCAAGAAATCTTTAGTAATGTTTTGAAGATGGTCTTTATTGATTTTCGCATTGTCACAAAAAATTAGTGCCTGAGGTATTGTCCCTGCTTGTAATCTCTCCACAGGTTACAGTATTTACAATATATTTTTTAAAACCCAATCAGTACCAATTCAGAGGCATGCATAAATTCTTCACAGAATTATTGGCATTGAAACTTTGTAATTGATCTACAGTTAAAATATAAATAATTTTTAAGATTTTTTTTTTCAAATGTACTGGGACTGTTCAAATAGGTGTATAAGGATTAATGCTAACGAAAGTCATAGTCTTTGATCATTTATTTGCAGAGTTACTGCCCTTGTCACTAAAACCATGTAATCTCATGTCAAAGTTTTTTACATTTTTTTTTTCAAACTTCCTGGGATTGTTTAACTACCACAGGTATTTCCCTTGTCATAGAAACCATTTAATCACCCTACAGGTAAAGGTTGTTATTCCATACTGTATTATTTGGATATTCTGGAAAAATTATTTTTAAAACTTCAAAAAGGCTTGTGGTGGGAGTATGTTTTGTTTCCCCGCAAACCGATGTTTATGCTATATCCACAAATACTTTAATCCTTTACATGTGAATTTTACTTAAAATTCCAATTTTAAAAATTTCACTCAGATTGGTATAAGTATAAGTAATTTTGATTTTATTATTGCAATTTATCTAAAAAGACTTAATTTTGATGAAGATGGGCACAAATATTGACACCATATAATCTTTAATATTTCTTTGAGTAGATTTATGTACTCTAGGCTCAGTTATGACTTTGATTGTATTAAGTTAACATTCAAATCAATGCAATATAATGTATATGCACAGCTGAATAAGTGTAATTTGTTTAAAACTAATTGTCTAAATAGTTATTATTATAATAATATTTTGGTAACACAGAGAGATGAACGTGCTGAAACTCCTGCACACCAAGGCTATCCTGTAGACAATCGCCAAATAATCAAGCAACGTAAAGAATTGTCTGATCAGAGAAAACAAGAATATAATAATTATTTAAAGGTATATACTGAATATAATCAGAACCATTAGCCGCAATTGTTTGAGTTTTCATACCTGTGTGAACTGTGAACCTTTGACTAATTGTTTTATTCTAACCAGTAAGACGTCAATTCTCAACGAACCGAAAGGATAAAGATTAATTGATAAAAGATCATTCTAATCAATCTCTGCAAGATGGATGTACAATTAGAATATTTGATTGTCGTTTAATTTCACAAATCGGGGAATCCCAGTTAGACTTCACTTCCCTGTTAGGCTCCACAACGCAGAAATATATATCGGTTGCCCGAGTTGTATTAATTCATTAACAATTAACTTATTTTGAATATCTTAGAATTGTGGTCATAGCCATTAATTTGTGTCCTCTGGAGGTTTACAATTTGGAATTGCCTATTTATGATAATTACTATAATATTGTTGTTACTTTTTGTAGTCACACTCCCACTCGAGAACAATAGATTTTAAATATTGTAGAATGTTGGCCATTATTATTCACATGCCACTACAGGATATATATCAAGAATTTGTTTGCATTATAACTACCAGTCTTTAACTTGCACTCTAGGATGTGATGGTTTATAATTTGTAATTTCCTATTTATTTTAATGAAATAGTTATATACATCCTGATAGGTTAAATGCATCCCGATAAGTTAAATGCATCCTGATAAGTTAAATGTATCCTGTTATAAGTTAAATGCATCCTGTTATAAGTTAAATGCATCCTATGATTAGTAATTAGTTAATTGCTAACATGAAGCCAATCCCAAATTGTAAACCTGTCCGACACAAAGTTAGTGGTACTGGTTGGTATTAATTACCACAGTGCACACCTAGACCGCAGGGATGGGGGTGTCAGAATGGTTTAACGTGTACACATTAGATTATAAGGTCTGTCATTGAGTCAAGTGGCGTCATTTGATCCCTGCTTGTGTGTGACAAGGAGTAGGGTCGCCTGTTCAACCTTGTGGGTTCCTGTGGTTTCCTCCCACTGCTAAAGACCCCTACAAGCATGTGGATTAGATGTTGTAATGTTCACAGTTTGCATTTATTTTTATTTGCACCTCTTGCACATTATAAAGTATTTACCACTGAGCATGAAAAAAACCAAACAATTCTAAGAGTTGTTTTAATTTTTGAAAATAATCATTGTGGATGCTATAAATTTGAGAGAACTGCAAACACTTTGTCTCATTTTTTTGCAAAATTTAGAATGTATAGCCGATTCTGTAACCAGCAAGTCCACTCTCTGGACAATATTCTCTATACTCAATTGTTAATATTAATGAATAATAAAAAAAAAAATAACACACTTCTTATCTGGAAAATCGTCAAAATCTATAAAAGCAAATATTTTCAGACTCATACGGATAATCGGAGAAAACCAAAGAATCTCACACCAACTCAAAAGAGTATTCAAGTTGGGGAATATGATAATAAAATTAAAGAGAGGTTACATGGTCAGAGAAAGAAGGAATATAATGATTATTTAAATAAGGCACAGGTAGCACTTCAGTTTCTTCACCTTTTGTTTAGAATTTTTGTTTATGTCTCTATACAATGGCTGCGAATTTGAGGAAAGGTTCCATATATATTTTCTAATATGTATTAATATGTCAATCAAATTCTGAAAAAGGTCTACATCTTTTATTGACAATTGACAAAGTATTATTTTTTGAAAGGCAAAGAAAATTTTTCAAGAAATAGTAAGACACTTTCGAAAATTTAATTAAATTATATTGTGTGTATTAAATTTAAAATCCTATTTTAAAACCCCATGAAATTTGCAGTTATTGTGTTAAAATTATCTTGTGTGCTTTTTTTTGTGTTTTTTGTGTGTTTTATTTTTTGTGGTGTATTTGTCACTTCTGTGCAATGCTGAATTCCTTAGTAAATGTTTTATTGATTATATCTATTTGGTGGGGTGATTTTGGTTGAGGAGCCCATTTTTAACAGGTCTTCAGCTAAACAAATTTAAAACATGAATATAATATACTAAATCTTCCCACTCTTTTTTTTTTTTTTTTTTTTTTTTTCTGTTCCAAGCGAAAAACAATCCTTTAATTGAATATGATTTTTATAAACCTACATTGAAATTTGCTTGTTCTGGGTATATTGTCGTCACAACCGTCTATCTGTCCATACATCATCCACAATTGCTTGTAATGTGGATGCTCTAGATGATATCATCTGATAAACTTGAAATTGATACATGGAGTTTATATTCATGATATAAAGACTTCACTGATTTTCAAGAATTTCTGATGATAACTTTTCAGTGATGTGATACATAGTCGGTGTGTTCATTAGATGAAATAACCTTGATAACTCAAACATGTAAAGTTATTAGCTTTAACAATAAACTTGTTGGCCCTGATCACTTTTTAATCTATGCTAAACACTGCCATTACCAACAAAAGAGTAAATATGTGACATCCTCTATGGACTACTCAAATGACTTAGCTGCTGTTTTAGCATTGCATTAGAAGATATTTATATAGTGCACCTTTGTTTGTTGTGTATGGTTTTTGTTGTTTTTTTTGTTTTGCATGTGTGTTTTGTTTATATCACTATTCACAGAAAAAGGGCAAAACTAAAAGAGGAAGAAATTTTAAATATCACAATCATAATGCAGTTTTAACAGATCGTTTTGATCAGCATGATTATGATGCTGTTGCTAGGCAGCATCAGGATGAAAACTATCATGACTACGATCTTCATCTTCAGGTAGAAACAATGTAGAATGTAGAACATAGATTAGTTTTTACAAAACATTTTATTTTCAGGGCAAATCTCAATACAGTTTGCGATTATCTTGATTTTGATTTCTTTAAAACGATTTCCAAATCTCTTGCTTTTCAGAGAATATAAATACACTATATAGAGCCAGAAATATTGAGTATTAAAACATCTTCTAAACAGCTCAGACTCATAATATTCATTTCATTGTGACTTGATCAGCTAATTTAGATGTCGGCAATTGAGAATTATTCAAGGAAATTTTGTTAGAAATAGGATGGGTATATTACTGGAAAATAAGAAAATGTTTGTAATAAGTATTAAGAGAAAGGACAGTTGGTATTGTATTTTTGGGAGGAGGGGTGGGGTATTTGTTAGTTGCCCAAAACAGAATTTGTGGAGGCTTGAGATGGTTTGTTGTTTTTTTTTGGTTTTTTAGAAAGAGATGATTGTTGGTTTAAAGAGTGATAGTAGTTGTTTGATCTGAAGTGTTGGTATTTGTTTTAATAAGCATTGTAGTTGTTGAGAGGTTTTAATAAAGTGATGGTAATTGTTTGAGAATTTGATTGTAATTGTTCAATAAAGGGTTGGTAGCTCTAAAAGGATATGGTAATTTGTTGAAATGTATTGTAATTGAAGTTTGCAGGTGAGTGGTTGAAAAAAAAAACAGAACTGGTTGTTGTTGGTAAAAACTGTGGATGCTATTTTATTTGTCTTGACAAACTTCTGGTAATACTGTGCATTTCATTTGAAACAAGGATAATAAATAGCAGTAGATTTGTTGGCATTGGTGTTTTAAGTTAAATGTTTTAATGTCTGTCTGTATAAATAGTAAGAATTTATATTGATTAATAGAATCACATGTTGTGATGCTGTGTCATGTTGTTCTCATCTCTGTCTTCATCTTGTATAGGATCTACATATAGTTGGTGTTAATATTGATTATTTAACATATTATTAATTGGTTTTGTCTCTTGTCATAATGGTTACCTGGAGGTTACTATGGTAACACATCAACAGTAGATAAAAGTAAACATGGAACTTTTCAATTCAATAAGAACAGGTTCTTCAACCTTTCATAACACATTGGGTATTATTTTAAAGGAAGAGGTTATTCGTAGCCACAGTATTTAGGGTTAGGGCAACCTTTTTTTGGAGACATTTCATATAATAAATAATAAAAACAAATACAAGGAGCGTCTGTAAGCTTCAATGAGCTATGGTTGGGGTTAAGTCATCAAGGCATCATAACTATTTAAGTATTTACAAGATAATTGTAATTCATAAATGAAGTATTTACGAGGGGATCTTTATTCATAAACCCTGTGGTCAGGAATAATCTCTTCATATTTTGAAAATATAATTTTACAGATGTAATAAGATAGATAAGATGAGATATCGATTGTATTAAAACGTCCATAAAATATGTGCATACCATTAAGGATACAATTTTAAAGAATTCCCTGTTAAGCTTCCACTTTACAGTTTTCCATTTAAAACATTGAACTTATCACTGATATACTAAACCTTGGTCTATGCACTTTCTTTTTAAAATTCTTCAGATAGATATTCCTGGGTCAGCACCTATCTTTTGATAATAGTGATAAGTTATAAGATTTTCACCCATTGTACATGTACTGGTACACAAAAAGGATTTGCATTTTGATTGATACATGATTGTGAATTATATTATTATAGATAAGCTTATTATAAGAAATATTTGTTATATTTTCTCAATTATTTGAAAAGTCATAGATTATGGATATTCAATTTTATACAAGTAAGTCTATTCAAGCAGAGATTCTTATGTAAAGGGACATTTTGAAAAATATTCGCTGAGGATTTCTGTGAATAGAAATGAACCTTTGAAAATATCAAATTTTGAAAGCCAGAATTTTTTAATATTCTAGATTAATACCTTAGTTAAAATGGTTATGACAAAAAGATACATAAAAAAAATATCAAAGTTCTGAGTTTGTAAGACTCATTTAGTCATAATATGATTTCCATTGGTGAAAAGTCCCTTTAATAAATAACAACAACCAAACATGGTTTATAAATCATGGAATATTAATGATGTTCAGGTTATCCAGTCATCTGGTATTCTCTTATGGAATCATTGATTTTTGTCTGGATGATATTGTCTATCTGTGATTGTCTCCATCCGTTGTCTCTGAGCTGTCGTTGATAGTGTTTAGAGTTTGTTGATTAGTAACGAGGCACATCAGTAGTCCGGATTCCATCATCTCGTTATATCTTGCTCATTAAATACCCAGACACATCAGATTCTAACTTTTTGGATTTAACTATATTTCCTTGTCATGTAAGTTTGTTATTAAATCTTTATGTTTAATTGCTTGAGGATTGATTTCAATATTTTGGCTTGCATTAAGAGCGGATTGGTGTTAATTTATTTGTTGAATTTCTATGATTAATATGCATACATACCAAGCATACCATACATACGTACATACATACATACACATACATCCTTGAGTTGCTGAAAACTGTATCTACATGAGTCTCCCAAAAGGGTTTTAAATAAAATTTAACAATTCTGGTCACAAAGGGGTTTCAAATGATTATGAATAGTTTGATAGTTATATATGAAAATGTGTTTTAGATTATCTAATTAACTTTGTATTAAAGAAATTTTTATATTTTGTGGCCTTTCCTGTCAAGGACTACTGTATAATTCTTTTAGATAATACTTAAACACCTGCGTATTTATCTGATTTTATGATGTAGATTAGTAAATAAATCTAGTTTTTTTTTAAAATTACAGTTGTTTTATGATTTGACATTGATGTAAAATAAGATGTATGAGATGTAAATGATTATTGATTTTCTAACCTATTGATTTTTTTAAGCTTAGAAATTATGTAATACTACATTAATTATATTCTCCTGTGTCTTTGATTCCTGGGCAGTTGAGTTTTCCTGCATTGTATACTCGATCCAGTCGCAAATTAGCAAAAACAATTTTTTGATCAATATATAGAAATGGTAAATTAAATAATGATTTTTCTTGTGAGATTTAATTTAGATTGCATTTGCACAATAGTGGTATTTATTGATTAATAACTTGTGATTATGAAATGATTAAATGTTGTTATATACAGCTTGGATCTCCGGTAGAATATTATGAAACGAATGATGTTTATCCTGATAATGATACGTCACGTGTCGCTGGTTTACCAGTTGGTCAGTATGAAGAAAATAAAAAACGTAATGCTGAGGAAACTAAACGCAAATATCGTGCCGATTTAGAAAAGGTAATTTCTAGTTAGAGATATATGAATATGCGTAGATATACATGTATATAGATAATAATAGGCCTACTGACAAACAGGGTGAAAAATCTTTTATTAAGTCCAATAGTATTACAGTACCTTTATTGAAAGGTGGCTCTTTGTTAACATTAAAAAAAAAAATACTTAAAGATGCATTATGTAAGATTTAGATAAAGAGCTGACATTTCTCCTTATAATAGTTAAAAAAATAGTACAATGAAAAGGGAATATGTTGAAAATTTCTGTCAAATTAGTTCATTCTGAGCTGAGTTATCATCCATTGCAGAACAGTGTAGTCAAGATTATCAAGATTGTCATTTTTACCATTGTTATGATAATAAACAAAGTATTGATTATCCCTTTTTAAATTAAATCATTAAGTGCCAATCGTATTTAAATTTGTTGAAAATTTAGAGCATCTGATGGCATCGAGAGTTGATTATGCTCTTTGAAAGCTAATAAATAAATGTCTAATTAATAATTTATATAACATTTAAGGCCAAGAGAAAGACCTGCAATATGCAGATTTTATCTCTTGAATAATGCATCTCTAACATACTATATTTGAAATCAATGGGGGTGTCTTTTTAAAATTACTTCAATGACTAACTGACTATTTATAATTAACACAAAATACTATTTTATGGATACACAATTAAACTATAACACATACTTATGGAAGAACAATTACTGATTTATTTGGGCAACGTTTCGAAGAGTATTCTCTCAACGTTTTCAAGCAAGAGGAAAGATCATTATCGTCATCAGTATGGAGATGTGGCAGTTTCCTCTTGCTTGAAAACGTTGAGAGAATACTCTTCGAAACGTCGCCCAAATAAATCAGTAATTGTTCTTCCATAAGTATGTGTTATAGTTTATTGCTCTATCCAGTTACTAAATGCCTCTATGTGTCGTATAGTATTAAATCCAGGAATTGTGTATTCATTAAATTGCATATTATGTTTACTAAATGCCAATCAAAGAAGATATTTTAGAATTGATGACAAATTTTAATTTTAATGGAAATTTAACTCAAATCATACATCTCTTTAAGGATATACACAGTTTGTTTATTTAAGTGATTATCCCTTTGTAGCAATTGAGAGAAAAAGAAAAGATTATAAAAAGACAACATGGTGTTAAAAGTAAAAAAATCTCTCGAGACGAAAGAGAAAAGGTATAAGTTACATAGCTAGCTACTCTCTTCAGTATTGTTATGTGTTACAAAAACTACAAAGCATTTACTCTTGGTTAAATCAGGTTGTTTGATTGGATACGACCCTTTGTGATTGACGGTATGTGTGAATATAACTGTAAAGGTTATTCTTATAGGAGCCGTATTTCTGAATGCAAATTAAAACATCCACTATTTGTGCTTAATAATTAGGGGTTTAGCTGCTAGGTTTGGTGAGTTTGACACTGATTAAGGGCTTTAAGGAATTGAGAACACTTTGAATAATAATTATCTATTTTTTGTTGTCTATATATTCAAAATCATTTATTTTTTAACTTATATTCATTTGTGCCATGCAAACTATTCTGAAATTGGAATCCTTTTAAGCTGTCTAAATATTTGGGGTATTTAATATCAAATGCTAATATTAAACAGCCATTGCTGAATATAAATATCATATTAGAAAAACATGATTTATACAATGATCAACTTAATCAGTTTTCCGAAATGTGAATCTAGTCAATGAATTTATCTGTCAGAAATTAAATGAAATGGGGTTTAACATCCTACTCTTCTGCTCTGACTGGGCTAATAAAGACGGATCTGTCAGACAAACTATGCTATAAAAGTATAAAAGAGAAGAGTAAATGCTGAAGTAATTTTTGCACTTAACAATGTGAAGATAAGAATTAAAATAGAATGAAGTTATTTACTTACTTAAGTAGAGCTGAACTTGAAATTTTTAGAATTAGTATATAATTACTTGAAACATAGAATTCATAAATCAAATAAATATTAATTGGTTGCTTCTATACTCTTCAAAAAAAAAGTAGGGAATATTGAAATGCAAATACCTATGCAGGTTGCGATATGATAAATAGTCATGGACATTTGACATGCTTTGAGAGTATGTTCACAGATGGAGAACTTATTGCCCCAACAGAACCACTGATCTGCACATGTGACATGCAATAGCGCCATACACGTGGAAGGGGTTCATTGTAAAATTTGACATTTCCTAAGGAAGGGTTGATGAAAACTGCCGGGTGCTGGTTTATCTATCCATGTTTGCTTTCCTATCGGTTCTTGCATAAGATTTACTGTTTAACGAATCTTTGTTATAGTGTGTTTAATTTGATCAGGAGACGTGTTTGTAAACGTAAACCGACAACACTGCAAGAATTGGTCGTGGCACTGCAAGAGGAGTGGGTCAGATTGCCCCAAATCGTGATTGGACGGTTGATTAGGAGCATGCCACGACGAATTGTTGAATGTCTGAGGATTGGTGGAGCAATTACTCATTATTAAGACAAAAATCAAAAACGTCCATTTTCACTTTTGACGGTGTATCTCTTGGAAACAAAAGACGTTATTTTTTTTTAAATGTTCATTCTGGTGGAGTCTTATGTATGGCTAGTTGATCCTTTTTAAATGATTAAGGTTTATTAGTATTGAACAGGTGTTTAATGATTAATAATACCCAGGTATTATAAAATATTGTAGCAACTGAGGATTAGAGAGGAAATGTTGAGGAAACAACTGAGAGTTCAGGGCAGCCCTCGTAGATCTATTGAGAAAAGAGATCGTAAGCTGTACCAGCCAGTGCAACCACAGCGTTGTACATGTGGTTATAATTTTCCACGAGCTGATGCTGAGGAACGAGCATATCTTGACTTTATACATCTAAGAGACAAATATGACTTCAGATATCAAGATGAATATGATGAGGTAGAAATTCAAAACAATTCGATTTACTTTTATTAATCTAACAAACTTTAGAGTAGATTAAAGCTAATCGTTTTCAAAAAACATACTTTGAATCTGACTATTGAAAATTTACAGGGAGACCTGTTAATGATTCTTTTCTTGTTTCGGTGTCACGGTTTGGCTCAGTCAGCACTGTGAATCTTTTTAGATATAAAATATGCGACTTTTTGCAGTTAAAATCTTTAGCGCACTTAATATATAGGCCTACTACAGTACTCAGTAGGCTTAATTAAGGATAAGTAAAAGAAGAAAATTATGCAAATCAAAGGTTTATACTGATAATAAACAATTCGGGTGGACGAAAACAGTATTATTAACAATAGAGAGTAAATCATGTATTGACAAAGGAAATCAATGAAGCAATTGCTAAAAAACAAATTAGGTGATTCTGTTTCACTTGAGTGCCTTGCTCAAGGATCTGAGCAAAATCGCATATTATCAGACATGACACCGGGACATGAAATGAAGACATCAGATTAATTCCATAATGATAATGTTGTCAATTTTATCAGAAGAAATAAGTAGTGTATCTATTGAAATAAACATATGTTCTGAGTGGTCACCTGATGATGAGGCTACAAATGTGCATGATGCCCTGAGCTAGTTTAGTGGTCAGTTAACAGTTTGTACAATGAAGATATTTATTATATCTTAAAATGTCTCTTTGAGCTCTCTTTTCCAAATAAAATTAATTGTAAACTACTAATATTTCAGTCAGTTTTGCTTTTTATTAAGAAATTAAGAATATTCAAAACTTCCGGTCAGGCCATGTGGCCATAAGAAAGATGATTTAATTGATAATTAAGATTAAATATTAATAAACCATACTGACTTATTTCGTTAGTTTTAACGTGGTTGGGGGGAGGCTATTTCATTTGTTCAATCAAGTGGAACAATTATTGATCAAGATGATGTTAATAGTTTCTTCAAGGTACTTTTGTGTAAATAATGGATGTAAGCAAATCTTTCGATGTAATTATATTACAGTTTATTAGTAATGTAGCTTAGATGATATTTTACATTGTTGATTTTTAATTTTGGAGAATATATTTCTTTAGCAATTATGTTCAGCATTTCATTTTATTTATGTATCCAAATGACATTAATTTATATAGTGGCAGAGACGTCAGTTGGCAGCATTGTCAGAGATTGAAAGACGACAGTTAGAATTGCGTCTGAAATTGGAACGAGATCTCGCTCTCCATTATTTACAAAGGGATGCTATGGCACATCTCTCAGATGAAGAAAAGGAAGCGATTCGACATTGTCCAGTTCACATAGCAAAATGTAGTCCCTGCGCTAGTCGCAGTCCAAGTCCTCATATTGACCCACCTCTCTACGATCCAACTGAAGCAGAGATACTACGACAGGTATATGTACTACCATATTTGGTCAAGTCTGCCTTGATTTATATATTGTAGATTCATGATAGATATATGTTAATTGGACTAACAAATCAGATATTTAGTAATATTGTAGCAATATGAAAGCACATCACTGCACAGCAGTTATTATTTAATAGGGTTCAGGTAGTAGACATTAACATCAGATTTTATGGTCATTAGGTGATTAGAATATTTAAGTTTTAGTCACTATAATCAGAAAATTTGGATGTTCCTGACATGCTGTGCATGCTTTCATTCAGCTTATACTAATATTTCTCAGCTTGAATTTTATTATGTTATAGCAGGGCTTTTGTTTATTATATTTGACTGATTTTTAACCAAATTTGAAAGGTATGTTTCTTGTATGGCCATTTTCTCATAGACAGATATTATTAATATATTGGTAGCTTAACCCAACCTATAGCTGGGAGATTAAGCCCACTTGTGCTCTATTAAAAAAAAAAATATTCATGTTTGCCTCTATATATTTTATAGTTATTCTATGTAAATTAGTTTATAAGTTGAATCAACCGGTAAACTATTCATAGTTTTAAACAGATATTATGACCACTACATAATATGTATGCTAATACGTACTTTCCTGTTTACAGAGATGTTTTCCATAGTTCAATACAGAAAAATTTAAGAAAGTGCATTTAAAACTTCTGTTTTAGTATTATCGCGCTATATGAATAGAATATTATTATTGTATTAAACATTGAAAAAATCAGACGTCAAAATTTTAAAGCAAGAGTCCTGTATGGTAGATAGTATTTCACATTGTTACTGGGATGAAAATATTGTAAATCTCATAATATTAATAAAGCTTTTTGTATACATATATTTGTACATATTCAATGTAGTTAAATTTTATTATTAACAGTATAGTTGAATAATTTTAATGTTTTATTTTTATACCCTGTTCAGTCCTTGTTTAGGAAAGTTACATGTAGTGATTAATAAATTTATTACCGGTAATATATAAAGTATTGTAAAAATTTATAACCATAGTATTTGCATGTAATTTATGTCATTTTTAGAATATTTAACATTTTTATTACGCATATTATTTATTAATATTGATTAAAGCTTGTATTATTACTCTGGTTCATGTATACTGTTTTGTTTTTTTTAATTTTGTAATAATAATAATCTTAGCTTAAAATGGACAGTTACACTACAGTTTCTTATATATGCTCATCCTCCTCTTAAAATGGTGTACACAAGTACTACCCTGAAAAATGTAAAATTCAGGAAGTGGTTGGACAAAAAAATAAAATCTCACTCATAGGTCATTCATTTAACGCTGGATGCTTATTCCAATATATAAATTATACAATTGTTATATCCTTCATTATTAATATACAGGGTTATTAATTAAAATATTAACTGAAGCTCACAGACTTTGTAAAGAAAACATATTGATGATTCGAATTGTGTACCACACCTTGATACTGTAACTATGTTTACTAGTCTCATTCATCAAGACTGTGATAGATAATGGGACTATAGACTTGTTCATACACATAATAAGTGGCAATGCACACATCATTATGACAAAATTAAATGAGTAATGCAAACTACACTGCATGATAAACAGCAGGAAATTTATTTGCTTCTGTGGATACGCTAGTTGAAAAATGTATATTTACAAAAATATATTCTTTGATCTGTGTTGATTGAAAACGGGAACAACCATATAATTTACAATTTATTTTAAAACAATAATATTTTCATTATGTAAATAATTCAATAATACGGTTTTATTGGTAAGTAGTAATGTGATTATTTTGCGATATTTCATATTCACAAGAAAAAAAAAATTCTTGATCTTTTTTTACAGCATTTTCTTTCAGATAGCAATCAATTGTTTCACACAAGCTCAGATTACTTTCTATGCATCACTGAAACTATATAAATTGCAGCTTAAAACAATTTTACTTCAATAATAAAATTCATAGTTCCTTCTAAAACAACAGAACTGATTAAAATATTTATATAAAATAATATTGTGTTTATATTTGTAGATAATTTATAAAGAAATATTTTGATCTTTTATTAAACAGCAGTGTCTGTTAAGGATAAAGAATTAATGACATTTTTGCTCATTTTAATATGATTCTGATTTTATTTTTCAAATTTTGCAGTCATCAGAAACCCCCGAGCGTCTATTGATAGGAGAAACATCAACAGAACATCGTGAGAAACTAAGACAGGAAAGGCAACGTGAATACAACGATATGATGGCACAGGTTAGATATTTTTTGATAATTTTACATGCTTATGTATAGTCACAACTGTCAGTTACAAATATAACACATGTGACATATGTATATAATAATATATACAGTATTTAAATTTTTGTTAGGAAAAATGTAGGCTACCACTGCATATTGTTCAAAAGTACAAACATGTGTTACCATTTCCACTTTCACAGAGATTTTGAGATACATTTGGAATTTTCTAAAAAGTAATTTTGTTTTTATAATAAAATTATCCTTTTTGTTTGGTAATCGTTCGAAATATGAAATGAAAAATATAGTGTTGTACTGTGGACATGATTTAAAAAAGAATAAAAAAAATATGTATATTACATTTACTAACAATACATTTTTTTTTAAGTACATGTATTAGCTAGCATATTTAATACATTCTCAATTTATTCACACTCGAAACAACACATTTTACACAATGCTTGATTTTATGCTCAAAGGAAACCTAAACATGCTTTGTCTTTCCCTTCAAACACTAGCTACTATTCTTGGTCACTCATCACTTTTTTTCCTTGAGACACTGTGTTATGAATGGATGATGAGCTTTTAAGAATAAAAACCTACACTTTAAATTTCAATTACACCAATACCGTGATAAGCGTTTATTTCCATTTTAGGCCAAAATATGCTTATTTTTGATTTTTATTTCTACATTTTAAAATCCCCCCTCCCCCACCCTACCAACAAAATAAAAATATTGTGTGAGAAATATTATGTGCATATATAAACATAGTGTTTCCATATTGCCATCTATCATCTCTTCTAGCATTTTAATTCAATTTCTTGGTATTAGGGTGCAACACAAGGGCTCTGGGTGTAAGGTACTTACTTGCTAACCTGGATATCCCAGGTTTGATCCTTGTGATTTTCCGCTGTGCCCCCCCCCGGTTGGTGGTGCACTACAAAGGTCCTTGAAAGGAGCAGAATCTAGTCATTTGAATGGGACAAAAAAAGAGGTCCCATAGGTACACCTTGCCGTGCACGTAAAATAAACCTTGGTAGTTAGAATTCAATTGCTGTCTGGACAAAATTTCCCTCATAGCAAATTGCATGGCGTATGCCCTTCTTCATTAGCCCAGTTTGAGCAGTAAAGTAGGACGTTAAAACTCATTCATTCATTCCTAACTTTTGCCATTTTCCCTGTTACTTAAATTTCTAAATACATCTTGGTACATCATAAATTTTTGATAGTTGTATTGTTACACCCTAATCTTGATTAGTTTCTTAACACAGTCAATGTAGATTTAGTTGCTTTCTGTTAACGCACCTTCCTTTCATATCCAGAAGAGAAGCAGAGCCCGCAGAAATATCCTGGGCGATGATGAAGATAGTGGGTGGGGCATATTTGGTAATCGGTCGGAGGATGACCGTAAACTAGCCAATCAGAGACGTGATGATTTACTTATTAATGACAAGGTAGATTTATCGTGGAATTTCATTGGTTATGGGAATGTTTGTCTACTTATTATGTTTATCTTTATTATCATTATCATTTATTCACCTTCACTGGAGCATGACGACATTAAACACTTTTACTGTAAAGCAAGAATTGTTTGTGGTACCAGAATGTGGCTTGAAATATTCTCATGGGTACAAATCAATACAGTTTTTTGGTCTTGATTAGCTTAAGTAAAGAGTAGTGATAAAAAGCAAAAATTCAACAAATGTAAATATCTTGCTCTACAGTATTAGTTATTTATCTAATATTTATGGCTACTGACTGGATGACCCCATGTTTGACAAATTGTTGCTATTCTTTTATAATTTTTAGTCCAAAAATGGACTGTTGCATGGCTAAAAGAAATAACGTTTCAAATTGTTTCATACCTCATTTTGTCTGATATTTATTTTCATTATTTCACTAACTGAATTTAATTTACATGTATGATTCTTTATTTTTTTTGTGGAAATTGCACTGTTTAAAAAGAATACAAATTTTAATAACAAAAAAGTGTTTTTATTTTCTTGCACATAACATCCTCCCCCTCCCCCTGCCAGGTTAAGATTTAATGCATGCAAACTCAAATACACACAACTTTCAGATATATAAAAATAATGAAAAACAAATGAAAAAATCTGTTGTTTCTATGCATGGCTGATGTGGTAATATAGGGTTGTTTAAAGTACACTCAAAGAAACATATTATTGGTTACTGTTAGGTTAGGAGCTAATGTGATGATCATTGAACAGATCTGTCATTTAGTATTTGTTATTTAGTATTTAAATTTCTCTTATGGCATTAGGATGACCCTCTATTTTATTATCTCAAACTTCTATTATAATGTTAATAAGAAATGTCATGTGCATTGTTAAAAATATTTTGAGTCAATTTGAACAATTTAATTGTAAAAATTAGATTATGTTTGTGGCAATTGTTTACCACCCTGTTGAGCATTTTATTTATTACTTTCTTTTTTAAGAATGTATGGTATGTTTGTTATAAATCCATTTTCCCTTTAGAAAAATAATTGTTTTGTACTTATAGTTGATAAAGGAACATCATCAGATTGTCTGGGCCTCCAGGGACAGACATAATGTCTTTTATTGCTTTTAATTTTTAATGCAACTGTATTGTGAACCAAATTATTCAGATGTTATAAATTGAGAGAGAGTTACTCTGACAGTAATATCTTAACAAATACTTTTTAGAACTCGGTTTACAATACGATAGTTTATCATTTATGGAATAAAACTTGACACACCCCGGCCAAATAAATTTACAATCCATCAGCTTGAAGCCCTTTACATAGTTTACTTTTTGCTCATTTAATGCACTTGGTTGATTATTTATTTCAAACTTTCCTATTTAGATTCCTCCTCTTTTTGATACTATTCGATAGTTGTGTGTATATTTCCAACTGTAAACTGGATATAATTATTTAGTAAGATGTTTCATTTATTAAATCTAGAATCAAGGAGCTGAACGTCGTCAATGGGAAGAACCAACCAGTATAAAACCTGCTGAGGATAAATCTAAAAAAAATCTAGGAAACTCGGGTGGATATTTCCCAGTAGATAACAGTCATATTCATCGTCAAAAGATGGCTGAAGAGAGAAAACAAGAATATCAAGAAATGTTGCAAACATCTCAGAAGATAAACCGTCAACCACTTCACAAAAGAAACCAACCTGAACAGAAACCTAATCCTCAAATTCAAGTTCAAAACCCTTCTGCACAAACAAATGGTGTTCAGAATCAAGAGTCAAAACCAGCTGATCAGAGTTACACACCCTCTAGTCCAACGAAAGAAGCAAGACCTGTTCAAGAAACAAATGGTTACGCAAGTCCAACAAAGGAGTCACAACCGGCGCCCAATAGCAATGGTGTCTCAAGCCAATCAAAACCAGCAAGTCAAAATGGCAACCAGAAAGGTCAAGGAAAAGATCCCAGGAGAAGAGTATGGAAAGAAGATTCTCAGCTAGATTTCTTCAGTAGTAACCGTTATGAAGTTCGAAAACAACCAACAGATAAGTTTCAAGCAGCTTTGAATACTGATGTTGGTTCACATGGTCAACAACCTGAAAAGAATGGTTATGTTCCTTCTGCTGCTGAAAAGGCACGTACTCAAGACTATAATGAACGCCGTGAAGAGTACAACAACATGTTGAAGAATCAGTCACGTCCAAATCAGCGAAGATATTATGAACCAGAAAATGATGAATTCATGAAGAGAAGAGAAGAAAGGACACCACGTCAGGCACCTAATCAGCTGGAAAGTTTCATTAAAACTGGTCCAGCTCCAAGTGGCAAAGAAAATCACCAAGTAGACAACCAACTGCATGCTAATACAAATAACTCAAACATCAGTGCTGCTGAAGAACAAAGAAATGACTACAATAACATGATAAAAAACAGCAGCAAAACACCTCGGAGAGTCTACAAAGAGCCATCAAGCGATGACTTCTTTGATTTTGGTAGAATCCAGAAAAAGAATCCTGAAGAGAAGCGTCCTAGAGAACGAGCACCAGTTGATGAGGAGAGACGCCAAGAATACAATAATACAATTAAAAGCAAACCTGCACCCAGAGCAAGGCCTTTCAGAGAAAATTCATCAGATGATTTCCTCAAATACGGCGGTCCGCAGCGTAGAGTAAATCACAATGGATTAAGAGTTTCCCAAAGTGAAACGTTTCAAAACCAGGAGAAAAATTATCAGGAGAAAATCAAGGGTGGTGGTCAAACTCCCCGTCGCCGAATGTGGCGTGAACCATCTAAAGATGATTTCTTTATTGGAAGTACAAAATATCAAGTAACTCCCAAAAAGCGCAATAACGATTCGTTCCTTCTGTAATTAAAAGCATATTGGGAGCTCAGTAAGTGTCTTGCAAACTTTGTGTGCACATAATTATCTATATGTTTAAAGGTTTATATATAGTTTTTTTGAGGTTTGATTAGGACAATTCTACCTATTTGAATTGTTTAGAAACTTATATTGTTTATAATGTATTTTCTATTTACTGAGATACTTTTTTGGATTGAAATCAATTATGCAGTTCACTATTTATTTAACAATATTTTGTTTTTTCTAAAGATCTGCTGATACTTTTTTTTTTTTTATTAAAATTAAACGTTAGACTCCGCCCAATAATCAAAAGTATACTTTATTTTTTTAAATTTTTTATTTACAAATCTACAATTTTTTCATTGTTATGTTTTTGATGTGTTAAGTAATATTAATACTCTTCTTATCTAATTGTTATATAGTGTTTGTTTACATAAGTATTATTCGGTAATCTTAATGTACTTTATATCTAGATTTGCACTGTATATATGTGCATCTCTTAATTAGATATTAAATCTGTGATAAAATTTTATGTAATTTGTATTTTGTGCATTAGTATTGATATTGATATTGTTTGGTAAAATATATTTTTTCATATTAAATGGGTTGATATATTATCAGTAAATATTATTTCACACTTCAAAAATCTATAATACTTAAAGCAGGAAGGTAGATAATGAATAACTTTTGAGTGCAAGTTTTATGTGCAGCATAGAAAGCTTTTAAGCTCACAATATATTTAAATATATATACAGTGAGGCTAACATTCCATTGCACGTGCCTTATGCTTTACTCTGGTCAATTCTCAAAAAATGCATCATTCATCAGCATTAGTCAGATGTACATTAGGCCACAGTGGGCTTTAAAAAAACCTTTAGAATTTTTCAAACTCACTTGTTAGGGGTGGTGTCTGCAGATTTGTTGGATAGAACAAAAAAAAAAAAAAAAAAATTCTACTGATCGGCATATCATATATATATATTGAAATGGAAAATGCCACATGTTAATCTCAAAATGACTGAGGTATTGTGTTGATAATATTTCATTCTGTCAAGAATTAATGTAATTGTAATTTTAAAAGGAAATACCACTAGGTCATCACTTAGCAGTTCATGCTCATAACATGAGACACAGTATTTTTAACATTCTCTGAAATGCACCAGTATTAAATGTAATGGTCAGAACAAAAAATATATGACAATAATTGTTTTTTTCTCAATGCATCATTCATATTGTATGCCTTTAGGATTAGATAATGCACCAACATCTTCTTGACTAATAATGCACCTTGTTAAAAAGCTAACAGATGATTTTGTTGAATGATATTTTGGATTCATGTTATTTACACATATATTTTTGTTATTGGTAGTCTTTGTTGGTTATCGTTTAATATTTTTACCTATGGACCAGGGCTCTTGTTTTGTCTATATGCTAGTCTAAATATTATGTATCATTACAAAAATCTTTAAGATTTAAGAAACAGTTTTAATAGTATCATTTTATGTGTCTATATAGTTATAATGAAAACATTCTTAAAATTTAGAAAGTGCTTGGCTAGCATAAATTTACAAAAGGCCTGATCATTAATCAAATTTCATATTTTGGAAACTAAAAGAGGTAGTCCTGCAGCTTCTTTCAAAAACATATCAAGTTTAAATCTTTCATTTATAAACTTATTAGGCATGAAGGAAAAAAAAACATTCATTCTGAATAGTCAATAATACAATGACTTAAAAACAAGGATCAACAAAATTTGATATCAGAATTTAAAAGACATTATCGAATTGCATAACTGCCTCTTTTTATGATTTAATTTACAAACTAATTTTAGTCTACCTTAAAAATACTTCTTATGATATCTTGAATTATATGGAATTAAGTGCTTCAAGAACAATCTGATATTCTGTGTTCTGTGCAAAAAAAACAAACAAAATCATCTCAAAAACATCAACAATTTAAAAGTGAAAGAAACGGAAACCGCTTAAAGTGAAATTGTTCTGTGCTATGGACTACCTCTTGCGTTCAATTGTGCTAAAAGCGATTCTAAACTTTTCAAAACAAAAGACTAACTTTTTGATATTCGTCATTAGAAAATGGGCACTCCTCGGACATGGAGAGAACCGTCGAAGGAAGAAATTCTATTGGATGACAAGAGAGAAAGTTATCGCAAAAAACTTGAAGAAGAAAGGAAAAATGAATATAATGAACATTTGAAGGTCAATATATACTTTATATATAACTAATTATAAACTTTTGTGAACAGTTACTGTGTTTTTCTTTAGAATTTGAAAAATTTATTATTTGGCGTTTACATCTATTTGATATTAATATGTTTATTAACTGCTTGTTTAAAAAATAAAATCTGTGAATGAAGAAAATATTTTTATCTTAAAAGAAAAATAAGAAGTCAGGTTATCAAGATTGAATTACGGTAATTTAATAATTTTTAGAAATTCTCAAAAATCAGTTTTGAAATTTTGATGTAGTTAAAATGATGGGAATAGAAATTTAATCTTGAAATCTAGCTCTTTTTTTTTCTCATGGAAAAGCAGTATTTAATTTTGATATGTGTTTGGTCTGTGTTTGGCTTCTTGCTGCTGTGCATGTATGTCTACTATTTTTTACCCTATAGATAGCCATCAATCCATTTTATCCATATTAATGTTTTTAAAACCTGAACCATTCTGTCTTTACACTATTGATGAAGGGCGGACTACCTATTTCTATAACAATTTTACATATGCAATAGGTCATATGATAAGGGATTAAAAAAGCAAATTAAAGAACCTGACTGAGAACCATCCAAATTAGATGGAACAACTTTTAATCAAAGAAAAAGACAATTAATATTAAAAAATTTGCAATTTGTCAAAAATGGCAAAATGCTTGGCTAAATCTTTGAGAACTACATGTATATTTTACTTTACAAAGATAATAATAAGGTCACAATTGTATCTGTTATGGCAATGCAAAACTATTTTTCTAACAAAAAAAAAAGGAAGCAAAGATATCTTATTGTGCAAAATTGAAAAATTATAAACTAGTGATAGAAAATTTAACTTAGTGTTGATTTTGATGTAGAAAACAATGACAAACAAGAAAACATGGCGAGAACCAACAAAAGAAGATTTATTTATTAAGGATTCAGATGATAGAAAAAGAAAATTACAGGAAGAAAGGAATAAAGAATATAAAGAATTAGTACAGGTTGAAAAATAGATTATACTCTAGCAGGAGATACATCTCTAAGGCATTTTATTTTTTAAAAGTAGAACTTAATTTATGCTAGACATATGACTCATGCAAAAAAAAGAGTTACATTAATTAAATCTTATCATTGAAATGTAAGTAATAAAGCAGCTTTATACAAAATCTGTCTTTAAAAAATGACCTGTGACATAACATAACTAACATGTCGCTCAAACATAGAAAATATTCACCATAGAAAAAAGCTGGAATTGGGAAAAGAGACTGGCGAGAACCATCCAAAGAAGATCTGTTTATCAAAGACTCAAATGATAGAAAGAAAAAATTACAAGAAGAAAGGAATAAAGAATATCAGGAATTACTACAACAGGTTGAAAATCTTAAATTTTAGTAAAGGAAAAAAATAACTATAAAAAATTTTAAATGTTTAATTCAAATTTAAGACAAATTTTGAAAAAAGACGAAAACAAAACCCAACACAATATTCAAACATAAATTTTTGAAAATCATAATACCTAGGCACATTTATGCAAACTTAAAACTAACTACAACTATCCAGACAAAAAAAAATCCCCCTGAAATATTCCAATCAAATTGTTATACCCCCTAGAAAAAAGCAGCTGAGAAAAGTCAAGACTGGAGAGAGCCTCTGAAAGAAGATCTTTTGATCAAAGACACTGCTGATAGAAAGAAGAAATTAGAAGAAGAAAGGAAGAAAGAATATCAAGAATTATTGGAGGTTGTTAATTCTTGTGGTCCAATCAAACTCTTCACTTAAATCAACTTTTCAGAACAGCAGTGTCATTCTGAAACCAGAGTATACTTACACTATTTGGAACTCCTCATGTACAGTTTGCTGTTAGAACTGTGATACTTTCCATTGGAAAAGTATATTTACTAGTATTAGATACACACATGTCCATTTCTGAACTTTGAATTAGATTGCCCTTTGGATTAGTGGTATGTTTAATTTCCTTTCATCCAGTGCATTATGGTTATGTACCCGAATAAAGAGCACCTTACTAAAACTCCACAGTTCACATAAAGTTGTAAAAATAACAAAAAAAATAGTTGATTTGTTTGAAGAGTTTTGATTTGTAGTGTGTGGGACATTGATCTTCAAAGATGTTTGAATAAAAATAGAAATCTATTATACATGGTACTGGGAAGTAATGGTGACGGAACATATTAAAGTGTGGCTTTAAATTAATCCTGTGTGATCGCAGTTAGGGAGTGCCCAAGCTGTTAATTACTAATCTGTGTAAATATGTATATGTACCTCTGCATGTGTGTCTTGTGATCTTTTATATGTGTGTATCAGTGTTGGAACTATTTGCATGTGCATGCTTGTAATCTGTACCATCTCTATTGTTCATTAACTTCTCAGAAAAAAAATCTTCGACCAAGAGAGTGGAGGGAACCATCAAAAGAACAACTTTTCATATCAGACACATCAGACAAGAAGAAGAAATTACAAGAACAGCGAAAAGAAGAATATAATCAGTTACAAAAGGTTCGAAACTTCACGTGTTGCCACACCTTGCATAAAATCACACCCTGTTATGTGTTCTCTCTTTTTCATTCTTTGATGCAAATACACCCAGACATGACTTTAAATAAGGCACCTGTCACAGACACTATCAGGCACAAATTCAGACTTTGTCACTGTCTCTCTGGTGTCAGTCATTTTGTGTAAACTTGTCCTGTTATTGTTTGTGAACCCACTTTTACAAAATAAATGAGTACAACATAATTGTTTCCTTTAATTATATGTACCTTTGTTTTTGTGTCGTTTTGTTCAGTTTGTCAAGTTTATATGTGTAATATTTTTACATGGTTCAATTTTATTCTTTATATGTATTTATGTGATAATTGCTCTGTGAAACCAAATACATGATTTTATCCTCCTGTAGTTGTTTTGTTTAAACTGAAAGTCTTTTTGTGTTTGTATTCTGACATGTAGATGTTTTTATTCAGTTGTTGATTCATTTTTGTTATATTATATTTATTACAACAGATATTAATTTATTTCAGTTTGTTTTGTTAATTAGTGATTTGTTGGTTCTTTTTGTTCACTTTTTTTTCAGCACTTCAATAGAATAATTCCCTGGAAAGGGGTTCACCTTCCATGCATTTGTTTCTTATTTTTCAGCACAAACGGCTATTGAAATTTAACTATTTCCTACTAATTACTTACTAACAAATTATTTTACTTAACTAATTAATTGTTCAAATTTGCTTTCTACCAATTATTTGATAACAAAATATTTCACTTAACTAATTAATTGTTAAATTTTATAAATTTCGAAAATTTTTCAATGAACATAAAATAAATTGAATATTTAATCTAATATGATGATAATTTCAAAGAAGTTATGCTTAACCATAATGTCAAATCATAGGATGAGAAGATAGCATTGTTCTTGATGTGGTAAAAATATCTTCTGTCGGTATTGATTAGCTGTTGTTCCTTATTCAGACATGAAATGAGGATTAAATTTTTAACTTAATTGCTTTATTGCTACATGTACAGCATTGTCAATGAAATTCTATTCTGCAATCTTTCCAAAAAAAAAAAAAAAAAGGCTTAGAGAATGACATGTACTGTACTAGATCTATTAAAAACTTAACATAGGTCCAGTTCCCTGGCATTCTGTGTGCTAATTCAAATGACAATATAGTCTAAATTCATCAGCACAGAGTCACAATATGTTTGAAAACACATGTACCAGCACAAATTTATTAAATAATATACCTGATGTGACATTAATTTTTCAGAAACAGACACAAAACAGATATCATGATTTACCACCTAAACCTGGTACACCAGGGGGATTCTTAAATAAACTTGGATCACATGAAAAACAGCGACAGAAATTACAAGAAGAAAGACAGAAAGAATATAATCGTATGCAGGCAGAGGTAAGAACAAAATGAAGATGTTTGATAAATTTGAATTCATTCACCATTTAATTTCAATGATCTTGAAATTTTAGCAGTGGATATATAAACTGAACTGTATGGGAGGTCAGGAATCAAGATGTCCTGAACTCAATGACCTAGACAATTCTGTTTTGTTCTCAAGAGTACAGTGCAATAGGTGACTCCCATAAATCTGCACACCTACAAAACTTTAAACTTAACAGACCATTTCATTGGCTAATCTCCCACATCAAACAAAACACGATTTATTTAAAGATACATTATTTAGATACAAGATTTAGATAAAGAGCTTGCCATACTTGCTATAATAGTTCGAAAATAGATAGGGGGGGTTGGATGGCTGAATGGTTAGCGTGCGCGCGCTGTATCATAAAGTCTGTCATTGAGTCAACTGGCATGGTTTCGAATCTCCGGTTGTACGTGGCAAGGAGTAGGGTCGCCTGTCCAATCTCGTGGGTTTTCTCCGGGTCCTCCGGTTTCCTCCCACTCCTAAAGACCCCTACGCGCAAGCGAATTATCGAAATAAAATTAAACCATATGTTAGTCCCGAAATGACCTAGTTTGTGTCGAGTGGACGTTAAACCCCATTTCTCTCTCTCTCTCTCTGCTTCTTTAACCTGAGACTGTATGTATAATACGTCCAATAGCTTGTTTTACCCGTGACTGTGTGATTTGGATTGTTGTTGGTAGCTTCAAGGACCTTTTTATCTGGAATTGGTGAATATTTGGTGAAAATTTGAATTCTTCGAAAATAGTTTAAAATACGACACATCAAAAATATTCAAACTTTTATCTTGGTAGAAACATTTGACGTGGATTCATTTAATAATAAATTTGACATGGCTTGAAATTGATTTTGTTTATTTGTACATATTTCTAGAGAATCAAACAATACACCAAATGTTTTAAAAACATGACAAACAAGCAACACTACAACATTTCTTTCACCATCCAACAAGTTATTGTATGACAGATGTCTAGAAAACAATACATTTCTAACCAATAATAAAACAGTTGTTTTGCACATGTAGCATTAATTCAGCCATTTTGTAAAATTTCCTATTGATTGAATCAGTGAATATTTTATTTAAACCTCAAAATAAACTTACAAAAAAGATATAGAATAGATTGTGAGAAACCTTTTCCAAATCTTCAATTTATCATGTGCCCAGCTGTATTGATTTTCTCGCATGTTTTTATGTTTTATTCTTTACATAAATAAATATAGAGTTTAATCGGGGTAATTTATCCAATCACCCCGTAGAATCAAACACTGGTTAATGTATCAAAGTAGAAGCAGTTTGATGAACTATCGGCAATTATTCCACTTCTAATGATCGCAATATTTGATGATAAGCCTACTTACTTACTTGTACTTATGTGTTAAACATCTTATACTTAGAACGAAATCTGCATATTATATAAACATGGTTAAAGTCATCTAAGCCTATTGGTCCGTCGTAATTAAAAAAAATATTGTTTTTAGAAATGATTTGAAGTCGGTAATACATTACAAGCTTCACATACACCGTACAATAGGAGTGACATTAACCAATACGTTTTCTTTAAAGAGAAGACTTCCCACGTTATTTGTCCTAACGTTTAATAATAATAATAGATAATGTAAAATAAATAATAATTTTAAAATTTCATTTGAATTACTCTATTGCGAGCGAAGATATTAGCCTTTGAAGATTTGACAAGACGTGTGCAATAATTTCAACGATCGTACTGGTTGTTTGAAGCTAAGTCTCGCTCCTCCATTTTTAGCTTAAATCAAAATATGGCTGAACTGTTCTAATCTATAATATCGAAGAAATACGTTGCCATTGAGAGTTGATTACGGCCTGGATAAGTTAATTAATGTCTAATTAATAATTTAGAAAACATTTCAGGCATAATGAAAGACCTGCAATAGGCAAATTTAGCTCTTGCATAATGTATGTTTACGGAATTTTTCTAGGTCCTACTTTTACTCTACTGCCAAGATAACTATAGTTAATGATATGGGATCTACATAACCCTAAGAAGACCAGCAAAAGTTGTTATAATGTATTCTTTTGCTCTTTAAATAATTTTAGCATCTCTGTTGTTTTCATTTTCAGAAATTAGGTCTACATGATTTTGACGATCACAGAATGTTGGTAAGTTTACTTTTTGTTAATATTTGTTAGATTCATTTATAAATAGAATGAACAAATAATGCCAGCAACATAGATATATTTATTGTCAGGATATAAATATTAGCATTTATGTATTTGAATGGAACAGTTGAAGGAAAAGAAGATGCTACACTTCATTGAAAATTTAGCAGTTCATCTTACCTTAAAATTTGATCAACCGCCAGTAGATCAAGTTTTATTTTTTTGACAAATACATCAGTAAACATTGATACATTATTAAGATTGACAATCAGGCTGATGTGAATCAAGTTTATATACTTGTAGTAAGCTTACTAATAGAATTAAATTATCAATATATACCGTATATGTAATACGACATTGAAGTGTAGATATTTTTTTAATTTCTCTCCTAATTTTTTTACAAATAATGTCTAATAACTTTTAAGTTTTCCTAATAATTTTTTCCTAATAATTTTTAAGTTTTCCTAATAATTTACAAGTTTATAAAATTGATAAACTTTTAAAATTGAGCTTCATTAACAAGAATATTTTCTAACTTGATATAATATAGAGAATATATGTCTAATATTAAAATGTTCAGTTGAGATTGCACTTAAAATTTAAATCTGCTACAGAAAACAAAAGATGAAGAAATATTTGCAACATTACCAGGACTAAATTATCATGGTAGTGCCACGGTGAGTTATGTTTCATGGTCTACAAAAAAAACCCCAAAACAGTAAGATGTATCCATAAAAAAAAACTTCTGGTGATCGAAAATTAGACTTGTGATTTAAAAATATAATGTGCATTACAGATAAAAGTGCTTCCAAAGATACTCCAATCACATATAATTTGTTATTTTGCCATGGCTACTGTTACATGGTTACTCAACATGTAATTGTTTTATTTAATTTTTAGCCAAGATATAAACATAAATCAAATAATTTTAGTTATAAACTACCTTATTCTAACTTTATTTTGCTTTTAGTCAGTTTATTTTATTTAATATTGAGTGCTTTTTATTTATTTACTTTTCTACATTAACACACTGTTTTAATAGCAAAGAGCAAAAGCTAGAGAGAGAAATGAGGAATATAATGACTTTAAGCAGGTGTTTGATACACCTAGGATGGGTGTAAGTACATCAGCAGTAAAAAAGACACTTCTTATTTCAGAGTTATCTCCTTTTATTATCTTGGAAATGCAGAGCTTCTTGGATAAATATAAATATATTTATCGTGGTTTCTACTCTAGGAACTATTTGTTAAATATAAAGCCTATAATAATGCCTAGTGAAACAGACATCAAATTAGCCAGTTTGAATTTTATTCCATTTTGGAATGTTTTTACTGAAGCTTTTCTCCAATTTACTGATTATGAGCGACAACAATAATGTTATCGATCAACCTCTGCATTTACCAAAAGGTTTAGAGAGCAGTAGTAAGAAGTGTCTAGTTACTTAGTATGGTGTAAGTATTCCTGGATTAGTTTGTTATTGTGCCAGCTAGCTTGACTACCATATACCTGTTATACCAATATATTATAAACCATGAATACCAATTAAATTGATTTATATTACATGTAGACTGAATAATAAAATGTGTATGGACACTTTAGTTGTAGCTCACGTTATAGGATGAATCACTTATATAGAATAATAGGTAGGGGTACTTCGAGATGTGTATTTCATCTTTTTATTTTGGTACCCTGGGTACATGTACCTTACTGTAGCAGTACACAAGGTTTGACAGATGGCCCTAGTGATGTCATGTACAGGTGTTGAATTGATGTGTTGACAACATCCCTAAGATCTGCAGCGCACGTCTTTAGACCATTTAGAATAATATATAAATGTGATAGAATTGAATTTAGAATCCACAACTTACGCCATAGTCTTGGTGCTGTTTATAAAGTGACTTTGTTTTTAGCATATATATAACATGAAGATAGGTTTGCAGGGGGTAATATACAGATTAACCCTTTCAATGCTAGACGTAAATCCACTGCCTGTGCTAGACCCTTTTTTGAGGAAAAAAGGGAGGTTGGAACTGAATGCCAAGCAGTACTTATGGAAGCTTTTATGAAAAATCTTTTTGTCTGTTGGGATGGGCATGAGGTTGGGCTAAGAGGAAAAAATAGAATTTTGGAAATTTGCATAATAATGTAGTCACGTGACATCATGGCGGCCATTTTGGATTTCTTATTTCTCACTAAAGCTAACACGAAAACAAATTTTTCTCCATGAAATACTTAAAAGATATTGTTTTTTTCACTGGATTTTGATAAAGATATATAAAATGAACAAAAATATCAATAGCAGCCATGAGCAATGCCGCCACGAACACGTGCATCACGTCTCCCGCTGCCATGACCACGTGCGGATTGCAATACCTTGTTTTTACTTTCACTTTCATCCCCAAGTCCCATATCATTATCAATATAGTCAGTCAATAGATCTACACGTTCGGGACTCAGGAATTGCCTACGTCTTTTACGATCCAGCAGGCCAGCATTATTATCAACATCAGAATTATTGTCAGAATCTACTGCAGACACAGGGCTATCGTGTTCACATTGGGCTTGTTCATCATGCACGGGACACATAGCTAGCCATGGGCATAACGACGCGCAACAAATCACACACTTCATAATACCAATCACTGTCCTGACTACTATCATTATCAAGTAACTGGAAACGAATTATGTGTATCACCCGCCTCGAAATTGTCCACGTGTTGGTCAGCAAGGCGTCATTCACGACTTCGTCGAGAGTGCATCGTCGACGTTGTCACTATGCACTCCGCCATTTTACGGTTTGCCGCTTTGAAACACGTGGAAATATGTTCTAGTGTATAGAAAATACAATAGATGGCACTTGCAGTTACGGTACTAATTTTAGCGAGGGCTTTACTGAGTACACGGTAATACCGGGTACGCGCATTTTACCGACATTTTATAATACCCGGTACTACCGGGTATACGCAGTGAAAGGGTTAATATACAGACTACATCTGTTTCATAAATCAGATATTTACTAAGTTCAAATCAAAGGACATCGAACTCAAAGGACAGTAACCAGACTGACACTTTTCGAGGCTATGCCCCACTTAAATATCTAAATGTGTAGATTACCATAACTGAATGTCTACCCTTTGGTTGTTTCTATATATATTAATATATATTACCTGTTATATATATTTATCCATTTTATTAATCATGTAGTTATTGTAAATATTAGTAAATATATAAGTAAATTACTAACCAATGTAAATTGGCTATTGCACACTTAGTACAGGTATAAATTTCTATGTATCAAAATTTTAAAGGGCAAGAAACTAGATGGTTAAAAAATACCTCAGAAGTAACATTTTTTGGTATTTAATAGTGAAGACTAATATGCACGCTTGAGTACACAAATACTATATAGAAATTTGAATGGCTTGTATGGAACGACTTTGAAATTATCGTTACTTTTATCTGCGTCGCATTAAGATGACATCACGGAATATAAACTAATGTACCTGTAAGCTTCAAAAAGCCACAGCTTACGTTAGAAGTTACTGATTTGATTACATCTTGAGCGTTTTGCTGGTTATATTTCACTGCCATACATGATGTATGATTTATTTTTTTAAAAGACTCATTTTGGTTCAGTTTGCAGTGTGTCTGTTTGGTAAGAATTAAAAATTTGATTGTGTACACTGTACAGTCTGAAACACTATTTCACTTCTTGTTCCTTTAAAATTTTAATCATAATTGTAAGTGCCTGTTGTTTTTTTTAGAGCAAGAGTAAAACTAGCAATTAATTCAAGTAAGAAATTAATGTGTTAAATGCAACATCGCCAGTCAAAACAATGCAACATCGCCAGTCAAAGCAATACATTCAAATCAATATCATCTGATTATCGGTAATCAGATTTTGGCTGATCATTTTCATTGATAACATCATTGATTTCATTATCTACTACTTGGTTTCAAACTTACATGTTGGATTAAAGAAGTGAATCTTTTAAAAAAGAGTGCGATATGGCAGTTCATTGATTTCCTTACATCCCACTTCTACGTCGTTGTCAGTGGCAACCTTTGATAAAATTTTCCTGTTTATTTCCAATACAGGTATAAAAGTATCCGTGTATCAGAAATGAACAGTACGCTTTCCAGAAAGAGTACTGTTCATATGCGACAAACGAACACTTTTATACAAGCATTGAAAATAAGCAGGATGAAAACTAACGCCTAGAAAGTCATAAATTTTATTACAAATCAATTTCAACGGACGAACCATCCGCCGATGCACACTTCACCAGGATTGACCCACGTTGGAAAGTGTCCTTTACACTACGTTTAATATAATTGCAGTCCTCTACACCAGGGACAAGTTGTTTTGACAATGTGGTTGGCTCTTTGTTCACCGACTTCGTCAAAACAATTATTGTTTTATGCTCAGGGTAACGCAGCATGACGCACGTGTAAATACTACTCAGGTCGTTTCTCCACTGCGAAATCATTCTACCACGAAATGTAACATGAGGCACAGAAAGGGATAAATGAAAGAGCAGAAAGTATTTGTCATATTTCGCTTGACACGACTCGATAATAAATACTATTTTTCACATTTCGCTTCACAATACTCGATAGAAATGTGATGTGAGTGAGTTATTGGCACCTTTCCTCGGTGTATCGGTGAAGATAAGGACATTTTTGGTCGGGGCCCGCCTTGGCTCCGCCTCGGCTGAGCCCCTCGACCAAAACTGTCCTGATCTTCACCGATACACCGCGGAAAGTGTGCTAATAACTACTACATACACATTTATACTGACACAATTCTGTTTGCATTAATTTCTTATACATTAATTTCTTGTCTTACAGTATTGTCATTTATTAGCAAACATTAAAGAATTCAATTAGCCTATATTGTTTATATACAGTAAAAGTGCTTTAATCGACACTAACATTTATACTTGTTTTGACAAGTACATGTGTATTTCTTTCCAACAAAATGGTATTTTGTGTATTGTTAGCAGATTTTACTGTTGTAGGCTGCCTACATGTTATATTACAATATATATATATTACCAGTACTCATAGCTTTTAGATGTAGTAATATTTATCATTAACATAACCAATAAATATTATATCTTAAGTTTCAATACACTCCAGATTCATTAGTTCTTAAACATTATTGAAGAATAACCAGTATTAGATGTAATTATTTCGACTTGTAATATCATTAGTCCAAATTTAAATCATTGAAGTCCAGATGATATAAAAGAAACTTAAGAATGGGGTTTGATATTAGTGTTGCTATACATAAAATAGTAGCGACATACTACTGTTCATAACAATTACAGATTTTGGTGTGCTGCAGATTTTTAGATGAAGCAAAGGGATGCAGCTAGGAATACACACATCTCCCAATTGCTTAAATTCGACTATTTTATATGCCTTAGGTAGTGCATCAGATCATATAATTAGTACTGTTAAATTTGTAATTGAAATGGGCTATTTTTCGTAGAGAGGTGAAGAACCACCAGGTGCACCTAGGAAAGGATGGGGAACACCAACATATGAAGAAATGTTAGAAAAGAAAAGAAATGAAGAACAGAGATACAGGTAAAACAACTATACTTGCTTATTTAGGTATATATTTTACTTAGGCCTTGCTAGGCCTTGCAATTTTAAATTTGTCTTTTATGCAATATAATATTGTACAAAAAAATAATATTTTTTCCTTCCTATTTTTTTTTTTTTAACCAGACGATTAAATGATCCAGACTATTCTCGTCCTGGATTAAAAGCCTATAACAGTGAAGGGGCACTCCACAGACTTGAGGTAAGAAAATTTGGTAATTTTAATAGTTTAATCATGATAAATAGGCATTATTGTTGTACACTGTCTGCATTTATGATCAGATATGTTGTTTATATATTAGTAATATGAAAGAGCCTATTACAATTTTGCAATCTATTGGTCTTTGTTAAAACAACAAAAGTTATCTTTCTATCTGTTGTAAATGTGTGCAGTATTGAGATTAAAAGAAATGAAATGAAATGAAATGAAATGGGGTTTAATGTCCTACTGTTCTGCTCCTATGCTGGGCTAATGAAGACGGGCATATGCCATACAGTGTGCTATGAGGGAAATTTTGCCCGGGCAGCGGCACTATCGCCTACTCTTATATCGACTAGACAGCTGTCCTTGTCAGGCCCTCCGTCCTGCATAGTATTGAGATTAAGAAGAAACAGAACCTTATTGAGATTAGGGGGGTTGGATGGCTGAATGGTTAGCACGTGCGCGCTTTATCATAAAGCCTGTCATTGAGTCAACTGGCGTGGTTTTGAATCCCTGGTTGTACGTGACAAGGAGTAGGGTCACCTGTCCAACCTCGTGGGTTTTCTCCGGGTCCTCCGGTTTCCTCCCACTGCTAAAGACCCCTACGCGCAAGCGAATTATTGAAATAAAATTAAACCATATGTTAGTCCCGAAATGACCTAGTTTGTGTCGAGTGGATGTTAAACCCCATTTCTCTCTCTCTCTCTTATTGAGATTAAGAAGAAACAGAACCTTATTGAATTTAAGAATTTTTATTAATTACTTCTAGAGTTATGGCTTTTGGCCCTTGTTCACTTTGCATAAACTTCTGTATGCCTGAGCCACAAAATGTTACATAAAAAATATTTTATGTGCATGTATTTTATTCTTTAAAATAAAGGATTGACATTAATGTTTTGAATAGCCATATAATTTAAATGAATATCTCAATTTACTACTCTGCCGCAGTGTGTTGTGTTTTCTTAATGAGTGTTTTCTAGTTAATCCTTGGTTTGCTAGAATATTTATAGAGGTTATTTGGTTCTTTTCACAGTGTTACTCATTAATTTAGATATGTGTGATGTAAACTGTTCTTGTATGTTGATGAACTTTCCCCAAAGTGTATTTTGGTTTAGTTTGTAATGTGTGACTTCTGAGTGATTCTTCTTTCAGACATATTTTTATACACTCACATTTTATGTCCGTCCATAATTTCTTGTGACATATTACCATTCAGGATTCACATATTGTGGAATTGACCTTTCCACTTAGGTTCAAATTCATGAAATCCTGTGAACATGATATATAGGTCACAGTTCTAGGTGTTGTTGTTCATTATGTCCGTCCATAATTTCTTGTGACATATTACCATTCAGGATTCACATATTGTTATTGTAGAATTGACCTTTCACATGAAATCCTGTGAACATGATATATAGGTCACAGTTCTAGGTGTTGTTGTTCATTAGGGTATGAGGAATAAACTGTATTGATCAACAAAATTGATGGATCGTAAATTCCAAACATGTTTTGTGGAGTCACATTTTGACTTTTAAAGCAATACAAGGCCAAAGTTCGTAATGAAATGCTTTAAGACTCCGTGGGATTATTCATTTTCACTTTTAAAGCAATACAAGGCCAAAGTTCATAATGAAATGGTTTAAGACTCTTTCCATTGTTCATAGCCGCCATAGGTTTTTTTTTATTGATGATGATTTAAGTTATAGTGCAGTTAATTTTGCTGCTGGTAGGTGTATTACAGAACATGACAAGTTTCTATCTATGTTCTGAACTGCATTCTTACAATTTGACTGATTTATTGCCTTGGTGACATTTGACAAGAAACTCTGTAAAATGATACAACCATCACAGGAATAATTTCTTTAAAATTTAGCCTGCCTTATCTGTTTACTCGTAGCTTTACTTTCTGCTATCTAAATCTAATGCTGGATCTAAACTTTGTATTAATTAATCAGCCAAAGCAAGCTATTTTGAAAGATTTGAATGTATTTTGGATTGAAAATATGTAATTTTGAACCGTTTTATTCTTTTACTTTTCATTTTAGATTGTGAATTGTAAAATTGCTTGCTTTGGTACCATTATCTAATAAGCATTATATATGTAATCTTATATTTTGTAGTATTATTATCTGCTAAGCTTATCAATATCTTAACTGTGTGGGATTACAGAAATACTTGCTATTGTCTAAGTCAAGATGAATTGTTTAGACTATGCAGGATTTTTCAGTTGATTAATTTAGATATCATAACATACATCCTAAATATATGATCAACCTCCTGCAAGATATTAAACCTTGACTTACACAATAATGAAGGTAATCATCAGGAACTACTATAGTTTATTATTATTTCTTTGATCCTATACAATCTTAGTGTGTAGAGTTTTAATTATTTCTTTTACTAACCACATAAAACAGGATGAGAAGAGATTAAAAGACATAGAGAAAGATATATCAACAAAGTAAGTAATTGTTCTTCTGGTATTTTAATTAGGATTTATTGAACATTCAGTATAAAGCAAATTAGTACCGAAACGATGGTTGTTATATGAACAGAAATCTCTACAGTTTTATTATGTTTAACAGCAACATCTTTGTTTGTGATTAGTATAGTATTGCCAAAATAGTTCTTGATTTTGATATATTTAATTAACTGGTTATACTAACAGGGACAGTATACCACCTATTGATCTAGACAACAATGAATTAACTACAGAACATAAAATACTGGTAAATCTAGCACCATAAATTTCTCTTCGTGTAAATGTATCAGTGATCGGCACCATCCTCAGTCTTCTACAATCACTTTCTCAATGTTTTCCCCTTGAGTATGTAATCAAATTGAAATAATCATGATAGACTGGTAGTAATGTGGGAATTCCACAATGCAAAACACAATGCAAAACGAAGAGTACCTTTAGTAAGCTTAATCTTTAGCAAAAAAAACCTTTATTAATTTAATTAAAACAACATAAGTGCAGTTTTTTGGTTAAAATTAATTAGCATCTTTTTGTCAGATGTTAGTTTTCTCTTTCTGTAATTTTTCATCTGTATACATTTATATAGATGTTTAATATTTGTAACTTTTCTACTTTATCGCTGATGTAGATTTTGTATTATCCTTAGAAATGGTATTTTTTATTGCAAACTGCTGAATACTTTGACTTCATTTTTGATTTTACCGGTAATACCTTGACAGAATAAATAGCATATGCTTTTGATATTAGAAATAAATTTAAAAATTCTTTTTCATTTCTACCGATAAAAATACCACTTCTTTGGATCTTGAACTAATCTGATTTTATTAGTATTCGCATGGAATACTTATTTTACTATTTGAATGTTCAAGTCAAATTCAAATTTTATTAAAATATTTGATTCAGTTAACATGAGAATTTTTTTACCCTTTTTTCAAATCTATTTGTTTTCTGTTTCAATTTGTTTACTTCATAACAGACAAAAAATCAAAATTAGATCAGATTCCATTAGTCTCAATTGACATTGAATAATGAATACTAAAATAGGTTTTGAAAACCTTTTTCTTAGTAGCTGTAGCCCTTATAGATACAATTCTAAAATTGATTGGGGTTACACAGACTGTGAAACATTAATTTCAGATCAGTTCTATTAATAAATGTCAATAAATGTATGTGTAATTTTCTTTGTGATGACTTCTGCTTGCACTCACTCAGGAAATCTGTTTTACAAAACGGAATACTGGATGATCCTGACTGGCTTCGATCAAGTCACGAAGCAGAGCACGATCGAACCTATTCACGCCTGGTAAATATTTCTTCACGCTTTCTATGTGTGGTGTAACTTAAGGTGTTGTTTATTGGTTTTCATAGTTTTTCTATTGGAAAATTATATCTACACATACTTATATATTTTGGGGGGACCGGGGAGTAGGAGTCAATGATATATTTGACAAGTCAATTAACAAGAAGTTGATAAAAAGAAAAAAAGTAATCCCACTGTGTTAATTCAATAATTTCCTTTCTTTATCTGATTTTCCAGCTCTAATCTGTATTTAAACAAGAATAAATACATTTCTTCTCATTTTGACAACTATTCTTTAGTAAAGCTTGAATTATTATATTAAAGTTACAATTTCAGATTTTTAAGTTATATTTTTAAAATGTATTAAAATATAGTCCTAAAATATATGGTATCTATAAACAGTCCTACCTTGTTAAAGAATAATCCTATTAATCCTATAATTCACTAATGCCAGTTGAGAAATTGGCAAAAATATCATTTTCAACTTCAAATTCAAACGTTTGAAGATAGCTATTCCATGGTGGGGAATTGGAAAACAAGGGAGGTAATTGTGTTATTATTTTCGGTGTGGAGATTTTTAAGTGTGAGAAAGATAACCTATGATCGCATAATAGTGAGTTGACAACCTATTGAGCAAAAGACATAGAAATAATTATGTTTTGACTTTCTTAGAAAGTATGAAATTGTAACTTTAACAAAACCTTAATCTTAACTCCAAATTTACTACAGCATCTAATTACACAAAATCTTTGGTATCTAGACTCAGTATAACCCTAAAGCTATATTACTCAGACTAATGAAAAACTATTGTTTCATTATTAGCTCGAACGATTAAAAAATTGGAATGATGATACACAGGTGAGAGTTTATATGTAGTAGCATGCGTTGTTAATGTTTTTGTCTACATGTTGATAATTCATAGCATGACTGTGTGTATATCTTGGAACTCTATAATATTCATCGATTTATAAGGACAGTCATAGATCTGTAATGATGGTCCTACTTTCTTGTAATTTACTGGCGATTGTCCCTTCCTACATCCCAATTAATTATCTTGTTCAAATCAAGTGAAATGCATTTTTTGGCAAGCTAATATACTCTTTCTTGGCAAGCTTTACTTTTTCTCTCTATTACAAATGTGTGTGTGTAGAAATTTAAATTGATTTATGGCTTATATTGAGTCATTTTACTCTATCTGCTAGTATGAGTTTTGAGTGTTCCGTCTCATCTTTTATCATAAACTTATGTTAATCTCAAATTATTGATGTTATATAATTTCAGTATTTTGGGCTGGAAAAGTTTTTTTTTTTCTGTTTATAAATTATTTTCTGCTCTGTTCAAATTATAAAGGCTGATGTGAGCTAGCATGATTAAATGATTTTCCATTTATTTGTTACCAATGAAAAATATGGCCTTTTCAAATTAAACTTCCAAATTAGAAATTGTAGAGTTTTGAATTATGAATCAGATAAAAAGTACATCAAATGACTGGGTGACAAGTTTACATCTAATGAACTTTATTCCAGGACATTTCAATACATTACAAAACTGGATAATATGTTGATGTCTTGTTCAGTTCTTGTGCATGGTTTTTGAAATTGAAGGGGAAAGTTGAAAAGTTATTTTGTTTACATATTGTTTTGTGCACTAACAAATGCCTGTATTATTTGTTTTACTAATCTATTTAGGAAGATGATATTAAAAAGGAGGAACCGACCAAGGAGACACCAGTTAACAAAAAAGCATCAAAGCAAGATGTAGGCACATGTGACGTTTAATGTTTCCCTGCACTTAAACTTAATACACTTTGTGTCATGTTGTGATGTTTGCCTGTAATATTAATTGATGTCAGTCTCTTTATCTTATTATAGAACTGTCTTCCCAACTTATACTTATCTTAGAACATGAAGTTCAAATGCATGTGTCACAGGCAAAATATGATTACTGTATTCTTCGGTATATTAGGCGCATGTCTTGATAAGGCTCAGGGTGAGTTTGGCAGAGGTGAACCAGGAAAAAAATAAAAGCGCATGGTTTAGGTGCACCCTTATACAGCGTCTTGTGAAACACATGCCATACCAAACATGTCCCAATTACACCCTTCTCTTTTCATTAATATTTTAAATTATTTACATACAAAAGTTTGGGCTTTTAATTAGGTGACTGAGATTCATTGTTTGATTGTAAATAACAACTTAGTTCTGTATATATGCTTCTTCATGTTTACCCACCACTGCTAAAGAGTTCTGACAGTTTTTTATTAAAACTTGTCTTTCGATATTATTGTATTAAAGATACATTATGGGAGATTTTTATAGAGAGTTGGCCATTCTTGCTATAACAGTTCAAAAGTAGATGATGAAAGAAGAATATATTGAAAAATTCAGTCAAATTACTTTATTCTGAACATAGTTATCATCATTGTAATATTTGCCGAGAAATGGTAGCGAAATGTGTCTTCACCTTCGCCGATCGTTTGATTGACAGGCGTTAACTCCACCTACATATCTCGATTATCAAGTAAAGTTTTCAATGGCATACGGAAACGCTTTACAGCGGCCTCGCTAAGTACACTCTATCATTTAGCCTCTATCTAACTGACATATTTTCATCAGGTTACCCCTTATTTGATTTAATCAATTAGTGAAATCCTATTTAAATCCGAGCTGTAGCCGAGCCATCCGTGGGTCTACAGAGTTGATTTTGGTCTTGTTGTTTAAATAAAGATCTAATTTATAATTTCTATAACATCTGAAGCCTAAATTAAGACTTGCAATAATCAGATTTAGCTCTTGCATAATGCATGTTTAATGGAGTGATCATCTGATTAAACAGATTTAGATAGTTCTACATGTTGTAAAGAATTTTGTTAGTCCCAAGAAGATGGTCTCGTGTTGCTTAGAACTTAATTTATCTCTTCCTCTGAAAAAATCTATTCACACCAGTAAAAGTTGTCTTTCAAATGAAGTATTTGTACTGTATTGACCTATCCTTATATAGTTTATTTTGTGTTGGTGTTATTATCAATAGATATCCATTTTATTGTGTGTTTTTTTTTTCAATATATCTATACAATATAAGGTTACTGGTTACTAATTTCATAAATATCTTGTTTATATACAACCGAGCGACCGTAGGTGGTTTATTTTATGTTAAAATTATTATCGTTTTATATGTGGTATGTGTATATGTTTTATTTACAGATCATATTCATAACATACATTTTTTTAATTCCACCTTTAGAAATGAAAAATTTAAAAATCGGAACATTTTAACCACGATTCATATGATTAAAACAAAATCATAAATGTTTGTAAGTTATTTACCTTTAGGAAATTTATGAATATTGTTTTATCTCTATGTTTACAGAAGCACTTACCACCTCATGGACCAGCAGCACATGCTCCTGTATATCATGATTATCCTCCAAGAGGAATTAAAGACGCTCCGGCATATCTCCCTGATGCCAATAAACATCGTTTTTATGCTTCATTACCTGTTGGTAAGTATTATTTATAACAACTGGAAGACGGTTATTCAAAATCTTTCTTATTCAAAATCTTACTTCTGAATAGTATTTCACACCAAATCCCCCAAATCCAGAGTCATTTTTCAGCATTGTTTGGCATTTCAGTGCAAATGAACATTTAGAGCTCCTAAAAGAACTATTGACACCTGATTTCTGTCCAAGAGGTTCCTCCTTTTTTTATGCAAATGAGGGCTGTTGAGTGGCCGAATGGTCTAATCTGTGCACTTTAGATCATCAGGTTTTTCATTGAGTCAAGTGGCGTGGTTTAGATCCTACACTTGTATGTAACAAGGAGTAAGGTCACCTACCTAACCTCATGGGTGCTCCCTGGGTCCTCCGTTTACCCCCATGGCTAAAGACACTAGCAAGCATATTATTGAAATGAATTATTGTACCATATGTTAGTCTTAAAATTACCTAGTTTGTGTTGAGGTTAAACCATCCTTGTCTCCTTACTCATGCAAGTGTCAATTTTCTTGCCAATGCTCATTACTGCAGGTTAGATTTGATATAAATAATAGATAGAGCATGGTCTAGTATTTGATTATTGTTCTCAGAATTATGTCATGTTACAGTGATGATATTAGTTGAAATGTTGGTATCAGGTTTGGAAATAATGGTTTAAGATGCACCTGACAAATTGTCAGGCACTAATGAAATAGTATCTGACATTTTCGACTTAGTGCCCGGCATGAATTAATAATATCAATAAAAAAGACAAATCAGTGCCAGACAAAATGACAGGCACCAAAGGTTTAGTGCCTGACAAAGCCTGAATCTTTGCCTGACATTGTCTGTGACAGGTGCCTTATTTCCAGGCTTGTTTGGTATTATGGTTAATGGTAAGCCATGCTAAAAAGCAACGAGGGACAATATTACATGGCTATGAATAAATTTATGTTATTTGATTTGTTCTGTTAGATATCTGTTCGAGATAATCAGGTCATTATTTTCAGGTACAGTAACATTTGAAATGAAAGAAGTTTGTGAAATGTAAATATACATAGTGTTTTTTTTATAAACAGGTGAAGGGGAATCCCAGAAAGAATTACAGAAAAGAAAAGATGCATATAAAAAAGAATTAGAAAGACAGATGCAAGAAGCTGAAGAAGCTAGAAAAAAGTAAGCTTAAGAGATGGATGGGGGGGTAAATATCAGAATGGTTGAACCCATACTATATAAGACCAATTATTTACTGTATGCAAGTAGTTGGTTAAATTTCCGATTCTTATGTATGGAAATAGGAATATATGCCTAACAGTGATCCCAAACTGTTCTGTTTAGTGTTAAATAAGAGCAGCGATTCTCAACCGCGAGATCTTTCTAAGTGTGCTGTGAAATTTCGAACGGCACACTCAGTAAATGCGAAAAACCATGTGATCCCAAATGAGTAGTAACTGGTGTTTACGTGTAAGTTCATAGTTGTATTTTTCTTTATTTGGTTTAGTCATTCTATATATATTGTCTATGACTAGTCTGTGTCTACGGTTGTATGCCGTCTTTGACTTGACATGATTTTATTTTGCAAAATTCAAATATTTTTCATATATATTTAGCCGTGTGTGCTGCTATTTTTTCATGTGTTCCTAGGTCTGGCGTTGCCAAAAAAGTTTGAGAACCACTGAATAGTTAAAGAGTTAAAAATCATTTTCCTTTGTCTCTCTTTTTAAGAAAATGTTAATGGTTCATACATTTTTGAAGTTGAATCTTCCAATCTTGATATCTATGAATCTGTTAAACGATGAAAGAAAATAAAGTGCAAGGGATGAAATATGTGGCTTTTTTGAATGTGACAATTAATTATATTTTATTTTGATTTAGAAATAGAGTAGTAGAACCTCCTCAAGCTGAGGTTGCAAAACAGCAACAGCCAGTTCAACCAAGGGTAATTGTTATTCCTAATGTCCAAAAACAACCTGAAGTTATACAAGCTGCTGCACAGCAACAATATCAATTAGCAACAGGTGGTGATAGGTTAAGGTGAGTAGACCTTCAGTTTATCAACATACATTTCTGGTTTGCAAGATACTAAAGATGGGTTCGCCTGTCCAACCTTGTGGGTTTTCTCCATGCCCTCTGGGTTTCCTCCCACTGCTAAAGACCCCTAAACACAAGAAAATTATTGAAATAAAATTGTACCATATGTTAGTCCCGATATGACCTAGTTTGTGTCGAGTGGACGTTTAACCCCATTTCTCTCTCTCTCCCTCACTAGAGGCGGGAAGTAACAATTTCACTAACAAGGAATGATAAAAATTGCATATTGAAAATTGCCAGTTGTAGATTAGACAGGGGAGGGGGGGGGGGGGTTGCCGAATGGATATAAGGTCTGTCATTGAGTCAAGTGGTGTGATTTCGAATCCCCACTTGTACGTGACAAGGAGTAGGGTTGTCTGTCCAACCTCGTGGGTTTCCTCCAGATACTCCGGTTTCCTCCCACTGCTAAAGACCCCTGTGCTCAAGCAGATTATTGTAATAAGATTGAACCATATTGTGTTAGTCCCGATATGACCTAGTTTGTGTCGAGTGGAGGTTATGTTAAACTCTCTCTCTTTCTCTGTCTCTCTCTCTCTCTATTTAAATGTTGAGAATATGATGTAATACTGATATAATACCAAAATGATCCCAGTCCCTACAGAACATTGTAATGTTACTTTACTTTTCACCCAGTCTTAATGTGTGTTTGTTTTTTTTATAGTCCAAGAGCTGAAATGTTGCTGGGAAGAACTCGTGATCTGGAGAGGTTGGAGAGAAGACTGAAAAAAATTGAACATCAACAGCATGGAATTTCACAGTTAGATTTAGCAGAACTAGATTTTATGTCACACCGTGATCCAAGAAAACAGATGCATCAACCAAGTCATGGAACAACTGGTATACTAGAACAAGGCTTTGATAGATTGTTAGATCCACCCAAAGCTGTTGCCAAACCCCCAATTGGTCTTGCTTATCAGCCATCGTGAGTGTTTTTTTATGGACAATTTTTATTAGTCTTATTCATTTAATTTTTTGTTTAATATACTTTTAAATCATGTACGATTATACGATTGACGATACAGAGAGAATTGTTTGACATTTTTCTGCACCACATTGTAATTTAACATACCGATTCTTATCATTCAGTGTGTAAGAGTTTCATTGATATCAGCTAATGACAGGCCAAATGATTATGAATTTACGGTTCTACTGTCTGAACCATCGTAAATTTTAAACGGATTTCTTCGCTTATGAACAAACTACTTAACTTTGGTTATTATAAACTTACCAGTGTGTTTGAAATCAACTCCAGTTAAATAATTTCATTGCACAACTAAATATCCCAACGATTAAAAAGAGTTCTCTCTTGAAACATTTGACTTATTTAGTTGTATTTTCAACTGAGTTCAAAACAACTTGCTTTCGTCACATGTTGGGCCAAACCAATGCTGCTGTTGCGGGGGTGATTAATTAATTTTGACAGATAGTTTGACAACCACATGTTGCAATCAAAACATAGCGCGATCATTGCGATCGTTTGAGTTTGGGCTACGAAAATATTGTCTGAAGGCAATTATATAATAGATTTATATTGAAACAATTGATTGCCAGTCAATCAAATTTTATAAACAATGAAAATATCACTGATTGCACGGATACTCGTAAAAATAAAGTCAATATTTCCTATCTTCTTTATGTTATTAATTATGTAACAAGGATCATAAGCTCACCTCCGAAATTTCCAAGTGTATTGTCATTTTTTCGATCAAATAATAACCGCTTCATTAACATCTATAAGCGTGTAGCGGCAGCCCTAAAACGTAGTGCCTATTGGGAGGGTTTATAATTATTATCACACAATCACCCCATAATTGTAAATACCCAGTATACATATGTTAAATCTATATATTATCGTTTTGTATATCATATTAAAGATAATCATGGGTAATTTTGTTTGTTCAAAAGAAAATTACTCCATCCGAGTCTCTAATCCAATAATTAAAATAAAATATTTCAAAAGGTAAAGTTATAACTTTTGCACAGATTTTACTACAATGTAAAAGCCGATAAAAAAAATAATGGAATACGGGCAGTTATGTTTGTAAACCCTCAAACCCAATGCCGAGCCGAGAGTTAAGCTTATTCTTAAACCATGCTTAAATTGTCGTAAAAGTACCGGAAACCGTTTTGATTTGCCATGCTGTCACCCCTTTATACGAAATGATATATCCCGAAGAGTGACGTAATCAACTTCCATTTTGGTATTTTTCTGTGTCAGAAGTTCGTGGGATTTCAATTTTTCAAGATCGAATTGTTTTTATTCGTTGGGATATTTAGTTGTGCAATGAATTTTATTTAACGAGAGTTGATTTCAAACACACAGGTAAGTTTATAATAACCAAAGTTAACTTGTTTGTTCATAATCAAGAAAATCCGTTTAAAATTTACGATGGTTCAGACAGTAGGTTTAATCCTTGTGTTAGCTGAGGACATCATCTAGTCGTTTGGATGGGATGAAAAACCGATGTACACATTGGCTTGCACGTGAAAAAAAAAACCCTTGACAATTGGAAATAGATGAATAGTAGTTGGAATCGCCACTTTTGTGATAAAATTTTCCCCATAGCACATACTACATAGTAGGACATTAAACCCCATTTCATTTCATTATAGATTGATTGCTACATTAACTAGACTCCCAAAATTGCCCACAAAATGGAAACCCTGTTTACCAACACAGACCATTTAAAAGGGGGGGTTGGGTGGCCGAATGGTTAGCACGTGCGTGCTGTATCATACGGCCTGTCATTGAGTCAACTGGCGTGGTTTCGAATCCCCGGTTGTACGTGACAAGGAGTAGGGTCGCCTGTCCAACCTCGTGGGTTTTCTCCGGGTGCTCCGGTTTCCTCCCACTGCTAAAGACCCCTACGCGCAAGCGAATTAATGAAATAGAATTAAACCATATGTTAGTCCCGAAATGACCTAGTTTGTGTCGAGTGGACGTTAAACCCCATCTCTCTCTCTCTCTCTCCATTTAAAAGTCAATCATTCATATGATGTGACCTCCTGTTAAATTAATGTGCATTTAATTGACATAGGATTAATTATAATCAGATTGATATTACTTCTAAAACTGTATTTCATATGTGTTTTTTTTTTTTGTGTGTTCCAGGACATATGTAACAGGAGGTCAAAATTTTGATAAATTTAATTCAATAGATCAAGTTTATCAGTATTATGGTGCACAAAATCCATTGGACATTCCTGTTGCAGCTCCAGCACCTAATTATGGTATGTATTCATGTAATTGTATATTAAATACAGCTTCGACTATTGTTTAGATTAGCTATATGTGGAGATGGGTGCATTGTACGAGGTAAGGTATATGCTCTTTCAAGAAAATCCAAAACAAAATATTTTGAAAATTCACCTAACTGTTGACACAGAGTTAGCATGATGAGTTTGATGGCCATGTTCAGTTGACGGCCTGGTTTCTAGGAGGATGGTGGTGGTGTGTGAGGTTTGACTCTATTGGTGATCCGATAATAATTCTGTTGGGAGAGATCCTATATGAGGCTGTCTTTGTACATGTAAGTTGAGTGGAATCCTGTCATAGCTACTGTTGGATTTTATGATTTTTAGATCGACTTTTGCTTGATTGTCTATTTTAATTTTGGTTTAATTTTGGTTTAGGTGTTGCACCAGCTGTGGTTCCTAGTGGAGGTGTTATTGTTGATAATTATAGAGCTATGGGTGGAGGTGGTGGAGGAGGAGGAGGGGGATATGTTTCACCTACAATGGCATATAATGAGTAAGTATCATCGTTGATTCAATTTATTTTATCACTCAATAATACATTCTACAGTAGATATCGCTTGTGTGGTAAATTTCATAATCTACTGGTCAATCAAAAAGGAACTACTTTTTTTTTATTTTCAAAGAACAATTCATTTTTATTAAAGAAGGAACTATTTTTATTTAATTGACTTCCATGGAAACACTGGGTCAATATAAAGCACTTTGCAATGCTTGAATTGCTGTCAAAAAATGATGTATCACTGTGCCGTAATCTAATCAGGTTCAGTAAATATGAAATCTATAGCAAAGAATTATATTATTTATTTGTGCATGCAAGAAAGGATTGAGTGATAAATAAAATCTCCTACTCGTCTTTTTTGATATAAAAAAATATCAACACTTGTCGATAAAGTAAAAAAAAACGAGGAATAATGCTTGAAGGAGTAATTAGTTTTTATAGGATCAATAAACTGAGCAAATGTTTTATATATTTTTAGTCTACGAGGAGTAGGAGATGCAGACCCTAATGACGGCACAGAAGCAGAACGTAAAGCCAAACGTGCTCAAGCTCAAATCTATCAACGAGAATTAGAAAGACAGGTCTGTACTGGTAGTAACTTCATATTTTAAAAAACCTAATCTGAATCATATACCTATTACTAACACAACTATATATTGATTCATATACTATTCTCTTATTATATTACATGCAAGTTATATATGACTATCTTGTATGAGCTAAACCTCTGATAAATGTTAATAAAAGTTATTGAAACAAGGTTGATGTGATGTGTTATATAATTACTGATCTATGCTATTAAATTTTTATTTTGAAATATTTTAGTTTATTTCCAAATTTTAATTTTGTTTATGCTATAGACTTTAGCTGTTGATTGTATATATATTTCAACATGGGGACTATCTGTGGAAATGTTCAATTTACATTACCGGTAATATTTTTAACACAGTTCAAAGTGGTTTAGTTATTTTAAGCCATAGAAAAAAGAAATCAGTTGATCCTTGTTTGCGGTCCAAAAATTACTGCTTTGGTTTGAATTGCTAAATATCTATTGAATTAAATCATGTGATTTATGTACTACTAGAATAATTTAGGGAACTGTGCACGCAACCGTTCAACAATAAACCGAAAAGTTAGATCTAAAAATTGTAATTCAAAGTGATTTTTCATATCAGTTATATAATCATGTACGAACGTATATATAAGTAATATGATCTTCTTTGAGCGGCATTTAGCAATTGACATACGTAATACAAAAACATAATATGGAACACAATTACTATTCTATTTAAAGCGACGTTTCGTTGGAGGTTCTCTCAACGTTTTCAAGCAAAAGATAATGAAAATAATGTACAGAAGGTTTATATACAAAAACAAGTAACAACTAATTAATCTGAATTGATTTAATATGATAAATGGTTTCCCTATTGATTAAGATTAATTAGTTGTTACTTGTTTTTCTATATAAACCTTCTGTACATTATGTTCATTATCTTTTGCTTGAAAACGTTGAGAGAACCCCCAACGAAACGTCGCTTTAAATAGAATAGTAATTGTGTTCCATATTATGTTTTTGTATTAAGTAATATGATTATAATGTTTTATCATTTTAGATGGAGGAAAAGAAATATAAGAAATCTTTAGAAAAACAAGAGCGAGAAAGGTTTTATATTTGTTTTACATTTTTCATCATATGACTTTGATAGATATGCCCTTTTCACAAATTTTTATTAACACGTTAAAAGCGACATTATTATTATGTTTTTTTTTATATGAAATTTCATATGTTACCAGCGGTACATTTCACAGTTACATCATTTGATTACAAAATCATGATTAACATTCCAGATTGGATTTTGTTGAAGTTTTTCTGCTATCGATTTCCAATAATATTAATGAAATTGTCACACTTATATTACAAATAACATTAGAATTGTGACAATTTATATTTTTTTTTTAGATATGAGCGTAAATTAGAAGAAGACATCAAGAATTATAATCCCTACGGTCGAGGTGGGGCAGGTGCTCCTATGAAAGATGCCCAGGGCAATACTGTAGGTTAGTAGTGGGCCATAGTTGTCTCTTTTCAAAGTAACTTTCCGTTATATCCCTTCATGACTTGGTACTGTGTGATCATAGTGCACTAACAAATATTAATTTTTGTCCCCCACCTTTCGAAGACAGCAGGGGACTATTAAAATGGGTTTGTCTGTCTGTCTGTCTGTCCGTCACACTTTTTTGGACACAATAACTCTCTTTCTAATTGAGCTAGAATGTTTAAACTTGGTGTAGGTGTTTATTAGGTCAATGCCTTGATGGAGTTCGAAGATGAGCATTTTCTGCAGAGATAAGCAATTTGATGGTTGATGCTTTGGGACACGATAACTTTAGTTCTAATTAAGTGAGAGTGATGAAACTTGGTGTATAGTTTCATTACATCAATACCTTGACTAAGTTCGATAATGGGCATTTTTTAGGATCTAATTTCTTCTAGCTTAAGAATATTACATTCCAAGCATTTAGTATTTAGTCTAATGTTGTGAGATACAAAGATTTGACTCTTTTTCAAATGGATGATGATGATTGACATTTCTATTATTTTGATTCTTTATACTTTTAATTTAAATGTACAGCTGACTTGAGGGCTTTACAGAAAGGATACAGTCCCAGATATGATACAGGCTACGTTGATCCATATATTTCTCCACGAGGTGTAGCTCGTGCAGCCTCACCTAAAGATGATTTGATAAAAACTCCACCTGCCCAAACCACAGCACTTGGGGAAGCAACACACGCTAGAGGAGGTCATGGAATATTTGGCCATCCAAAGGTAAAATCAGCTGTCCTGGGTAATAACAGTGCATGTTAAATAAAGGGGTTAAAATGGAAAGAGAAAAAAAAGAAGGGTTGCATATTGTTAGTTAAGAAGACCATAATCAGCTTTGATGCCATCGGATGCTCTAGATTTTCAATGGATTTAAACACGATTGGCAGTTTATGATTTAATTAAAAAATGGATAATTGAGACTTTGTTCACTATCGTAACAGCGGTAGCAACTAGCAATGACAATTGATACTCCACTATTCTTCAAACAGCCCTAATGTCGCTCAATATATTGCCATTTCATTATCTAGTTTTTAACTATTTTAATGAGAATTGTCAGCTCTTTATCTATTTAAATCTTACATAATCCATCTTTAACATCTTTCCAAGAATGCATGTAAACATAGCCATAAAAATACATAAAAAAACTTCTATTTATATTAGACACTCATTGAAATAATTACTTAGCATAATGTATTGTAACCAGTGGTCATAACACAAATTCCAATGGATGAATTGCGGTCAATTATATCCCAAGAATTAATTGTTGTAAAAAACAAATTATTATTTTTTCTTATTTTTTTTTTTAGACAGAAGCCGAGAAAACTCAGGCTGATCGTTATAAAGAAGAATTAAAAAGACAGGTGAGATTTTTAAACATTGATTATTCAGACTTCGCCTAGTCAGTGGTGTTGTCTATTACCAAATTTTGTAGGCATAGCCTGACAGATTGTTGTTAGTTGTTAACGTGACAGGAAGTAGGTCCGTCTGTCCAACCTCGTGGGTTTTCTCCGGGTCCGCCAGTTTCCTCCCACTGCTAAAGACCCCTACGTGCAAGCAAGTTATTGAAATAAAATAGAACCATATGTTAGTCCCTAAATGACATAGTTTGTGTCAAGTGGACATTACATCCCATCTCTCTCTCTCTCTCTCTCTCTCTCTCTCTGTCTTACTTACTCTTCCCTTCTGCTTGATAATATTAGTTTTCCTGACTGATTCCTTTAAGATTTTAGTATGTTAATACAGAAGATACAAGGAAAGCCATGTTCAATATTGGTGGGTGGTGATATGTGTTTTGATTTAAACTTTTTTTGTCGCCAGATAGTATAAGTCTTTCTATTCTGTTAATTATAAGAGCTTTTTTCTTTTATGAAATTTAGGTGTAATATTTCTCTTGTTTGTATAATGAAATAGGATTTAAGCTATAATTTTTTTCAATTGGTTATTGTTTTTGTATATATTTTAATAGATTGATAGAAAGAAGCGAGATGCTGAAATGGAGAAAGAGAGAGAAAGGCGTGAAGAAGAGAAACAAAGTAAAATAGTCGAAGAACAGAGGAAAAAAATGCAGGAAGAATATGACGAAGAAAAAAGAAGAATTATGGCTAAAGAGGAAGAGGTAGAGTGAAATTCCAGCTAAATAAATTTAATATCCTTATGCTGCACAAAATGACTTTTCCGGATCTTCATACGCATATTTTATTTATAGTGTGAATTATGTCTATAGCTGTCTGCCTTTTTTATTTCATTCCCAGGTTGTAAGTGACAAGGGGTAGGGTCGCCTTTCCAAACTTGAGGGATTTTTCCCACTTCTAAAGACCCATACGCGCAAGTGAATTATTGAAATAAAATTGAACCATGTGTTAGTTCCGAAATGACCTAGTTTGTGTCGAGTGGACGTTAAACCCCATTTCTCTATCTCTCCCTTTTTTATTTCATTTTTTTAAATTTTTTTTACAGGCTCGACTTAGAAATGCAGAAATAATCAAAATGCAGGAAGACAGAAAAACAGATGAAGAAAGATTAAAAGGAGAATTAGAGAAAAAGAAACAAGATGAAGCTAGAATTGATTATGAAAGAGAGAGGTTGGCCAGGGAGGTAGGAAATTTCATCTAGATATACATTTTAAAATTGCTTCAAATTTATTTTATAAATATCATTTATCATTATCATTATTAAGATAATATATGCATGATTATATAGATAAATTCATATAGGTAGATATACATAAATACAAGCACTAAAATATATCAATATAACCATATTCATAGATCTTTATCTCTCTGAAATATAGAAATATCTTACTTTAATTAGCTATGCTTTATATTTATTTTCTTATAATATAGTTTAAATTAGCTGTAGATATTTTACTAATAACATTATTTACAGGAGAAGAGAGGGGAATCCCCACCAGTACCAGCCATCAAATCAAACAATCCGACCGATAAATCAGAAAAAACAGATGACAATAAAAATGATAAAATTCAAACAAAAAATGATAAAAATGAGAAACGGGTAATTGCAATATAACATACTTTGTGTGATCTTCCCCTTTGTGTGACTTGGAATCTACCCAAAAATATTTTGTTCATTCTTCCCGTATTTTTCATACGTTAAACCCCATTTCATTTCATTCCCCCAATTTATTGATGTATAGAAACAATCTCTTGGATAGAGAACTTTTCAGTTAACCTGGAAGAGCCTTCTAGGAATATTCTACTTCACAAAACAGTGATTGTTGATTTTGTTTAGAAGTCTAGATTGTAGAAACAGAATGCAGCATTGTACGACCTAAGCCTTGCATGTGATATGATAGAGAACATTTAGAAATAACATAATAGTTCTCTATAGCTAGTTAGATCAGATTTTAGTAATAGATTGTTTTAGATGCATTGAAATTGTGGAATGCATGTGGTTATGTGGAAGTACATAGATAGAATATATCACATATCTTCCTTTTTAACCTCACAGAGTTCGAAACTATTGAATATCTGTAATCTTAACATTATTTTTCAACTTCATCTTAATATTTGACCAATGTACCATGTTTCTTCCATTTTCATTTTCAGTCATCTTCAAATTCTGCTTCACCTAAACCTTCCTCGCCTGTCAATCAGTCTGTTGCCATAGAGACAGCCTCTAAATCTCCGCCCATTCCTGCTGTCAAGACAAACTTACAAGATACTAATGCTTCAACTTTGGTACTTTCCACTTTTCTTTTAATATTCACAAAAGAGCTAGTATTCAAATCCAGCCTAATCTTTTGTACCTTTAGAACTTTCAAGATTATATTACAAATCAATGAAGTTTTTCTAAATTATAATATGAAAATGTCTAATGAATGATACAGAAAATAGGCCTCAGTTTACTAGCTAGCTTGATGTATTATTTTCCTATTTCTATTTTTAGATTTATTTCACAATCTGTATATTATTAATACATATATTTATAATACATATATTTATAGTCTTCACAACCATTCCTTTTTTTTTTCCTAATTTGTCATTTATCTTACATAGCTTTTATTTATATATATATATATCTATGTATGCTAATTCTTTTATGTCTGCACCTGTTTTTTGTTGAAATTAAGTGGAAATGGAATTCAGACTGTTTAAAGATCTAGGCATGAATTACTTGTAGATTTTTTTTAGCGTTTCTGTATGAAAGATACTGTAGTATAATTAACTACAAGATGTTGAGACAAATCTAGCTATGTCTGAACAACATTCAAAACTTTCTGATTCCACTCCATTTGCTCACCACACACACAATTATTTTCTCTTCTGTTTATTATGTTTTATGTTATTTATGTTTTGTTTAGTATGCAGCACGAAACGATTCTCCTCTTATACCAACTTTACGACATAGAACAAACGAAGTTTACTTTGACGTAAGTTACACTGTGGACAATTAAGTTGTTCAAGTCAAATACAAAAATGTAATTTATATAATTATCATTAGGTCCATTTGAGTTCTGGTTAACTTATCTGGAAGAGAATAATTTTCAATCTTTTCAGAAAAAAAAAACCTTAGTATTTTCACTTCTATTTAACAAGTTATGACTTATATTGAAACTATAATTATTTGTATTTTTTTTATTACTCTTAAGCTTGTATTTTTATTGAATTTCTGATAAGAAGGAAGAATTATACATTTTTATTAAATAAAAACATATTGGAAAAAAGTGTCAAATTAGTAAAATTTAAAATTATTGTAACAATCTTTTATTATTTTCTTTTAGACTGAAACAGCACCTAGAAATAATAGTAAGTGAATGAATTTATTATTGCCATATTGATAGTAAAGTAGGCCTCAACATGTCAATTGTTTCTGATACCTAGATAAACGCTAATTCAGTGGTGACTTCAGAAGTTTTTGTCAGTGCGATTTTTTGTTGAATGAACTGGCTTGGGGCTTCCTACATTATAGCGGTCTCTGATTCGCTGTATAAAACTCAATTATTCTCAAATCAAGAGGTTAATTCAATATGCTATGATTTGTTGTGGACATATGTATTTTTACAAAATACAATGGAAGTTATCATTCATATTTTAACACTTTCAGGTGCTGATGTTTTGAATCAACTTGCCCATATGAGACGACAGTTACAAAGTGAACGAAAACGAGTAGAAAATATGTTGGAGGAAACAAGGGTAAATTTTATTTATATTTATATCTAACATTTATTGTGCCAGATGAACTTTAAACAATAATCCTGTTACAAGGTTACATAAACCACATTTGTCGCAAGAATATATAACACTTGAACATATAATGGAATTACAATTTTTATACGCCCACATTAATAATTACTTCCAGGGTTATGGCCCTTGATTACTTGAGAAATCTTGTGGATGCGCTAGAAGCTAAAGTTAATATTAATTTATACACAGTGTTTAAGGTCATGAGATGAACAATCAAATCAAATTTTAATGATTTCTGATAATTACTTAATGGGTTGTTGTTTCTCGTAATCAGATTTTAGTCTGTTGTAAATGTTTTCATTACTGACTAAAGCAAAAATATGCGACAAGCTGACAACCCTTTTTGACTGCCCGAATAACTAAGCTGCTGTGGTAGTATGTTTCCTTGCCTGGCAAATATTTATTCTGAATTAAATGCATAATAGTGGTGTTCTGTTCTAAAAATATTAATTTAAGTAAAGTATATCCAACATTGTACATGATAGAACTTTCTTCTAAATGTGGGTAGTTTATTTAGTATAATGTTCTATTTACTGAGCGAAGTATTAATGATGTTTTTATTTGTGTAGAATGAACCTGATGTGTATGATCCTAGATTAGTTAATAGAGTAGCTGTACCAGTACAACAAACACAACAATATCAGTAAGTTATATTATCTAAGGTTATCTTTTAACCAAATTATGTTGCTTTGGTTTCTAAAATCTAGGTCAAAATTAAATTATCAGCCATAATAATATGTCAGGGTGTAGAGAGTGTCTGGTACAATTTCAAGAGTTTGATTGGCTTACAAACTGTGGTTGTAATTGCTGCAATTAAGCAACCTCACAGATTTTCTCTGGGTCCTTAGGTTTCCTCCCACTGCTAAAGACCCCTATGCGCAAATGAATTATTGAATTAAAATTGAACCATGTTAGTCCTGAAATGATCTAGTTTGTGTCAAATGGATGTTTAATCCGATCTTATTTCGTATGTGACATAGTTTATAATTGAATTTTCAGGAAAACTGATATATTTGAAACAGCGCGCAACAGGAATGCAGTTCAGGTTCGTCGAGCACCAACAGCAGATCATGCAAATCCCAGTGTCTTACAAGAATTTGATCATCTTAAACATAAAGGTAAAATATTCAGATATTTTCTCTTTTTATTGGAAAACACTTTCAAATAAGTCTGTGTGCGTCATAATTATTGTCTTTTGACACTCTTTTGTTCAGTTTTTTCAACTACGAAAACTGTCTTTTTATCAAATATCATTTTTAATACTATGTTATTTTTCACAAATTCAGTTTTTTTATTTCATGTAAAAATTTCTATTGTCACTGCAATTCTTTTTTCCGAGCTGATCTTTCTAGATTTATTTGGATTGTTTTTTCTTGTATTTTTGATGTATGCACCACACTGATTATTATTTTTAGCGGACACAGATTCTAGAAAACAGTTCCGTAAATTATATCCTGTTGATCCACGAACACAGGAAGAACTTGAATCCCAACAAGCAGCATTACTCCGACAACAGGAACAAAGATTGATGGGATATGGACATTCTCCAAGTTAGTTTCAATCATTTCCTTAAAAGAGCAGGAAATAACATAAATAAAGATACTAGCATTAAATTTTAAAACTTCTGAAAGAAATGCTCAGAATAATTCTGGTTATTAAAATAGTTACCTATTTGAAACTCTAGATTCTTTCATTGTAGCACATTTGTTTTTATTTGTAACTTTTATGCAAGGTACTATCAGTATGCTAGTTTCTTTTGCAGCACTATTAGGGGATCACGTGGCTAAGTGATTAAGACGCTGGCTCGCTAGCCTGGAGGTCGGTTGTGTTCGATCCCTGCATTGGCCGAGAAAGTTCATCCAGATTTTCCGGCGTAGTTCCCCCTTGTCAGTGATGCAGGACGGAGGGCCTGACAAGGACAGCTGTCTAGTCCTTCGGATGAAACGAAAAACCGAGGTTCCCTGTATACATTGGAATGCACGTAAAAGATCACTTGGCAGTTGGAATTTGATATAAGAGTAGGCGATAGTGCCGCTGCCCAGGGAAAATTTCCCTCATAGCACACTGTATGGCGTATGCCCGTCTTCATTAGCCCAGTATAGGAGCAGAACAGTAGGACGTTAAACCCCATTTCATTTCATTTTTGCAGCACTATTATCTGTTGTTTGTTATCGTCATACTTTATATAGTATATAAGAACAAACGCAATCACATGCACTATAAAGCACGTTAGACCATGTATTATTAAGTATGGCCATTTAATATTTATTTATTTCTCGACACCCGATTATAATTCGTAAGACTTCTCTATAGTAGCACAATCTAAGTTACTTTTATCTATAGTAAATTTACTTATCTAAAATATCTGGTGCAAGTTTCATTTGGATATCAATCAATATCATCTCTTAATTGACTGGTATATTCTTTTGATTTTAAACTTGGAGTAAAGATGAAGGGAATGGTTTAAAGCTGATAGAAGCTTATGCGAAATATTCTTGAAATCCCCTTGCCAATCTGATAACAATATATTATCGATGTAAAGAAATGAGATTTTGATGTTTTAGAAATTCAATATTTGGTTCCAAACATATTAATTCTTGGTTATCAAGCTTTGTTAGCAAACAATTCATGGCTTTAATGTCAAATAACTTTTTGTATTGGCATGCACGTAAAAGATCCCTTGGAAGTTGGATTGCAACATAAGACTATGTCATAGCATTGCTGTCTGGGCAAAATTTCACTCATAGCTCACTGTTTGGCGTATGACTGTCTTCTTAGCCCAGTTGGAGTTGGACGTTGAACCGCATTTCATTTCCTTCATTACTCTCCAAGTTTTATATGTATATATATTTATTTTCTACCCAGCACATAGATATATGTTTAACAACCTGTATCTACCTTCAGGTGACACAGATACTATAGGAATTAATTCTACTAGCCCTCAAGCCATGCTTCATTCAAACAGTGCCTTTATAGGTTAGTTTATATACTCTTTCTCTTTAACTTCTCTCAGCACATAGATCATATACTTTCTTATAAATAGAAATTGTTATTTCCTAGACTATATACATTGCTTATTTCAAGTTCAAGCGCTTAGTGTTATTTATATGCATTCAAATCCTAAGTCAATAATGAACATAGCAAGGAAAGGAGTTATGCAGTTAACCTGTTTGAAACTTAATATGGATGACTGAAAGCCACCCTGATTTAGCCGTGGGTTTGTGGGCGAAAATTTTTAAATATATTCTCTTATAATATTACAAGCCACTTCAAGGTCAATCCTAACTTGAGAATAATTGTTTTGTTTTTTTTATAAACAGTATTTTATTCAGGGTATCTGATAAGTATTGAATTTTGAATTAAAATATTATTGACTACAGACATTGCTGGATTGGGATTGGGTAACAGGCTTAGCCTATGTAAAACCCCTTGGTAACATTTTATTGTATTCTACTAAGTTATATAGTTAATATCTACAGATCTCAGAAAGGAATGGGATTTGAGGACAGGCTTCGCCTATTGTATTATGAGTCATATATATAATATTTTATCTACAGATGTTGAAGGAATGGATAGAAATCTTTTCCCTGATGATTTTGACGATTTTCCAAAAAGGAATGATTCAGCCAGACAGAGAAGACGAGACAGAGACCAAGGTAGAAGTGTAAGTTGAAATTATCATATTATATTTAACAATAAACAAAGTAAAGCACAAAATCTGAATTTGATATGCCCTCATTTAATGTGGTAGCATATTGTTGTCATCCATGTTTGGTGTCTGTCACATTTTTTAGTAAACAAGTAGGGAACCACGGTGGCTAAGTGAGTAAGACATTGGCTCGTTACCATGGAGGTCGCAGGTTCACTCCCAGGTTTTGACCAAGACAGTCCATTGGGATTTTCCAGCGTGGTTTCCCCTTGTCATTGGTGTATGATGGAGGACCTGACAAAGACAGCTGTCTAGTTGTTCTGATGGTATTAAAAATCAATGTCCCGTGTACACATTGGCATGCACGTTAAAGATTCCTTGATAGTTGGAATATGATATAAGAGTAGACTGTATGGCTTATGCCCGTCTTCATTTGCCTAGTAGGAGCAGAACTGTGGTCGATGATTTATCTTAAATCATTTGTAGTTTAATTGCATTGTCCATAAAGATATGCCACATCTTGAATGTATGCCATAATCAAAACAATTCAGCTTGAGCGAAAAAATTGCTGGTTGTTTCCAATACCTGGCAAACTGTGTTTCTCAACTTAGTTGAAAGAAAACTAAACTGAAACTCAGCTTTACAATTCTCTGGTTTTAATTTATGTGACTGAGATATATATTCTATTTTATTATAGGACCCTGAGATTCCACGTAACTATAATCCTATGGGTTCTATCACTAGCCTGGACGTAGATAAAATATCAAGGAAAAATGAAGATAGATTACAACGACTCAAAGAATTACAAGGTGAGTTAGTAAAATTTCTAATAGGTCTACTACCAAATTTAGACAAGTTTCCCACAAGCTTTGTCAAGTTGCAGTCATTCTGGTCTCAAATGAAGAGAAGAGAATACTAGTGGTGATTAGACTGTGTATGATTCTAACACTATGGGCTGATAAAGCCATCTGTTGTATTAAGATACATATCGCCTTTTTATCTTTCAAAATAGTAGTGAATGATAATCAACACTAGTAATATTATAATTTTACAATACGGATAATTAATATAGCAAATTTTTTTCTATCTGAATAGAAAGTCGAGAAAAAAATCCCCACTTACCCACCCATCAACCTACTATATGTAATGACACAGTGGATCTCAGTTCATCGAGTCCCAAATACATTATACTCCCAAATGCTTATTTACCAGTGCTGTCTTTATTTGAGATATTTGATATAATTACAGATGATGTATCACTGTATGATCCTGATGATGTTTTAAATAGATTTATGGAGAAACAGTCCCATAACAGGTAAAACATATAATAATATTCAATAGTCATAATTTTCTAATTAAGTTTTGCTGTGTTTCATGTTTTGTTGTGTAGTTGCTGTGGTTGTTTTGTTTAATTAAATGCATGTTCTATCAGTTCACTAGTTTAATCCTTGAGTGGCATTTAGCAATTAAGCACATTAATAACACAAAGACCATTTATACAATCACTGGTTTATTTATCATATGGATGGTGCAATGTTTTGACAGTTTTATCTTATTTTCAAAATGATAAAAGGGCACTTGTCGAAACATTGTGCCCTATGTATAATAAATCTGTGATTGAAAAATGGTCTTTGTGGGTTTATTTTTAGTTCAAAAGTGCTTTTGTTATCATCTTCATCTTCAAGACTATAAAAAGGACAATTAGTTTTAATATGAAATGATCTTAGAAGATAATTCAAGTATGCATTCAAGAAACTTTATATAATATTTTGAATAATGTTTTTAAGTCGTTATGAAGCTGACGATATATCCAGAATATTAGTAAGTTTAATATAAGTGTAGGTGAGGTAGACATTGCAGTAACTAATGCTCTCTTAATGTAGATTAGTCTCCAAATAATATAGGTAGGGTTATTATGGGTAGATGGAAAAGAAAGGGGGACTATTGTTGAAAAATGAGTGAGCAATGCTACTTGTAAACATTATAATATAGCCTTTTGAATGGACATTGCTAAACTGGTTAGTTGAATTGGATTCCTTGCACAGTTCCAAATAATTAGTAGTAATAGGCAGAGAGAAAACAAAAGAGGGTGTTTAATGTCCATGCAACACTATATAGGTTATTTTGGAACTATATATTTCATATCATTGGCGTGTATGCAGGGGTATGCAAGAAACTGGAATACTTGCATTGATTACAAATCATATGACCTACAGTGCACACTTGGCCACCTAACTCCTGTAAAGTAGATAGTGTAGTAACTAATAACAATAATCAAAGTTTTTGACATGGGACATTATTTCATGTATGTTAAAATTACTATTGATTATAAGTCTATGCAACATACATGACACACAGAAGCTACCTGTAAAATCCAAGTTTACTCTTAAACCAATTATAAGGCAATACACTTTAAATATATTTGCTTAAAACTTAAATTTTCATGAAAAAGGCCACTAATTTTTTTCTACAAAACAATATAAATTTGGAAAAATATTGGTTTATTGTTTTAAAAAAAAGTCTTTTCTTTTTACATTCCAGAAGAACTTTTAATATTTATCTTTAAATTAATATCAGTATTTCCCTTTTTATGGATAATGAAGAATAGAATAGATTCGCTTTCCTGTCTAATAGATTTAGAACTGTCTGCATTTCTTTTTCACGATTAATACAAACGTATAATTTTTAATTTCTGTACCAAAAAATTATCTTAATGATAGACTTAATTAAATGTTTTTCTGTTGTAATATTTAAGAATATGTATAAAGATATTATACATTATTAATAATGCCTCAGTAAAACCCATATACTTTTATGCATTATAAAGGGCAGATAACTAGCTTATGAATTGGGATACATGTATATCATAATTATGGACTAAAACTTGCTGATTTTTGAACATGATTATTGTTTATTTATCAAGAATATATTATTTCTGATTTTTAATTGATATGTAATTCACAAGGCTTGCAGAAAATATCAATTTATTGATAGATAGAGAAGAAACTTAAAACATCCGATAATAGTGTGAAATGAAAATATATTTTCAGACCCCCGAGTAACAACACTTTACAAGATGATTCATGGCTTTTACCAGGAAATAAAAAAATATGAGTTGAGAAATGTTCTTGAACATGTGTTGGCCAAATATGATCTGATGCTGTATATGCAACAAGACAAGGGCAGACAGCAATACTGTTACAACTGTCCCTTCTGAAGATATTTCAAGTCACATAATAATTGTTATATAATTAATATTTTTATTTATTTATTTTAGAAATGTATTAATGAAGAGTTATAACAATTATAAAATAAAGAAACCAAATATTTTTTGTTTATATTTTTAATTCATTACAATTGTTTTCATTAATAACAATGATACCAAGTGCTCATTATTTATTGAAAATGGCAATATTTATTTATGTATAGAGAATTGTATTGTTTATAGTGTACATATATACCCTAATACATACAATATATTCCATGTCATATTAGTCATTTTATTTTGTGTAAGATAATGATAACTAAAATTATATACCATATGTATGTATTGTATATATTTTATTTTACTATGTATTGTTTAATGGTCGAGAGCGAGACATTAAGTAATATATTGTAACAACAAGAGGACCGTCAGGTCCGAGTGTTTTTACAATATATTACGCAATGTCTCAGCTCGAGACCATTAAACATCTTAAAATACAGACACTCCGCACGTGCGTTTACAGTGAAATACGTCACTCGAGTCTAATATTTGACAAGGTACGATTGGCAAGTTGCCCGTACGATTATTTGAAATAATGGTACGCCAACATCAAAGGGTGACGTCACATCTGTATTTTAAATACACTTAATTAACAGTAAGGATGAATAAGGAAAAGTTGGTTTTACTTAAGTGTACTTACAAATCTTTCCCCAAGCCAATTTAAAATATAACTTACAATAGATAAATGTTACATGTACTGATGCTTTATTGTCATCTGGACTGCCAGTTATTCATCTTGATAAATTTTAATGATAATTTAATATTTCATTGAATTTTGATTGATCTAAAAATGGAACTGATGTTTTTTTTTCTATCACTAAATATTGTATGTATATTGTTGAATAGACAAATTTTAATCCCTCCATTATTGATCTTAAAAATTTGCACAGAAAGGAAATCTTTATTTTAGGGATAAATATTTCCAAGTGATTTATTATTTGAATGTATGCTTTCAATTCCCTCCACGGTCTCTATAAATGTATCTGTGATATTCTTTTACTTACAATTTGTGAAAGAACTTGAAATAATATTAAATAATATTAGTTATAATAAATTATCTAAATGGAGACTTTGTTATGGCTTGATATTGTATGCTGGTACTTGTGTTGTTTTAATGTACAGCTTTATTGGTAGCCAGCCAATTGATCGAAAAGCTGCCCTGGGAATAAATGAACCAAGAAGACCCTATCATCAACATCCTGTGCCCTTTTATACCTAAGATGTACTGTAGTAAAATTTGTTTTCATGGAAACACAATCATTAAATTTGTGAAATATCTAATTAGCAAGATCCACAACTACTATAGTAGGTTGATGTTTGTTAAAAGTTTCAGAAAGTTATCTTGAACCTTGGTTTATTAGATATGCTCCAGAATAAAACTGGGGTGAAAGAGACCTTTTTAGTATCCCTTCATTAACTTTGTTCAGTGTGGGATAATAACATAACTTATGGTGTACTTATGTTGGGTAAGCTGTACTGCAACTACAAGTAAAATTGTAATCTTTGTATGGGCAGCTTGAGATAACTTATTTAGCAATGGAGCACAATCCCCCCCCCCCCCAAAACACCGGTTTGTACACATATAGCATGACACTTCGACAAGTGTTCTTTTATGATTTTCAAGCATAAATTTAGGCACACTTGAAAGAGGTTGAGTTCATTGAGCAAACCGTCACTCCATACAACTAGCTACAAGTTGGCAGGACATGCTTAGAAACTGGAATTTGTTGATTGAAGGTGTTGAATTATTTGTTATTCTGATTAGCGATTTGGGGTGAAGGGTGGAATCTTTTATATGGTACATTGGATTAAAAATCAAATTATTTGCAAATATTTGTTTCATTTTTGAGGTAAAAACAAAATAGGCTGCGCCTCAACAAAAAATTTTGAAAGAAAGATGCAAATCTCGCAAAGTATTTAAACAACTAAAATTAAGTCATCAACGCATACTCAACTTTGGCTGCCTGTCTACAGTTAATTCGACTGGAGAACAGACATTAAGCTAAAGCTAAGCTAGTTGACCAACATTTTAAGTTCTAATTTGATGATTGTAGTCGAAAACAGAAATGAAATGAAATAAAATGGGGTTTAACGTCCTACTGTTCTGCTCCTAACCTGGGCTAATGAAGACGGGCATACACCATACAGTGTGCTATGAGGGAAATTTTGCCTACTCTTATATCGAATTCCAACTGCCAAGGGATCTTTTACGTGCACACCAATGTGTACACGGGACCTCGGTTTTTCGTCCCATCCGAACGACTAGACAGCTTACCTTGTCAGCCCCTCCGTCCTGGTAGTCGAAAACACTAAGTATATTTACTTTGCTTCCATTTAATAAAATTGTAAAATGTTTATTTAGTCTTTATATGTATGACAGATACAAATGTTTGGATATGTGAGCCATTTAGGGCAGAGATCTATTCCCGAAGTATGAAATCAACGCTTTAATATTTGACCCAAATAAAGTTGGTTTTGTGGTTTCATACCCTTTTTGTGAATTGTTTTTTTTTTAAAGGAAGTATTTTACACACTTTAGAATAGAACACCTTGTCATTCTGTAGATGTGACCAATAAATAAATCAAAATTATTCATTATATTAATATTTCACAATTTATTTCAAAAGACATCAAGCCAATGAAATTAATTTCCATTACATATGTTTATAAAGAACGGTATATATATATATATTTAAATTAACCAGTAACAAATGCTTAGTACAGAGTCGTATCGTTTAGCATTTTGACTTGCTTTCATAATATTGGCTTACAAATCAGACTATTGCTGAACTCTTAATAAATTTCTAGCAAACTTTATCTTTCAACACCTATTCTAGACAGCTGATTATAAGTCTTAAGTTATACTTGTAAGGGGAAAAAAACTTGTGGGTATCAAAGACCTTTTACTATAGAGTGCTAAACATTACATACTATTATAACAGCAGCCATTAAAAGATCACATGATAATCAAAATCGTGATTGCATTTATACACTGATTTAACTTGGAATTTGAGCAAACACATAGAAAAATTTAACAGACATAGGTCTAAAAACAATAACAAGCAAAACATATTAACTAAATTTTATCAATCATCATTTAAACACTGGGTAAAATAACCTATTTTCAAATGATTCAAACCTGGAAGCAATATATATATATATTTGGTTTAGCTAAATCAGTTAATATAGGGTGAGTAAGAGTAACCACAGGAAGGTACATATTAAAATAATTCTACTTTTGTTTCAACAGTAGAAAAATACAAAATCTGATATTTGTTTACAAAAATGACACCTTCATATTTGTCATCAAATTCACACCCCATTCCACACATAGATGATTCCTCTTGTCAACACTGTCTAATCAAAAAGATAATTATACATACACTATGCGAAAGCTAAATCTGCCTATTGCAGGTCTTTCTTCAGGCCTGAAATGTTATCTAAATTATTAATTCGACATTAGTTAACTTATCCAGACTATAATTAACTCTGGATGTCATCGCTAGCCTGCGATATTTACTGGATTAGGATCCGATTTGCTGCTCAACTTTCATTCATGATTAAATCATGAAATGGATAATCAAGACTATATTTTTTATCATACAGACTTTAGTAATGATGATCGAGGCTAGGCCGAAAATTCAATCAATAAATTCTTGGTTCAGAGTGGATGAATTTGACTGAAATTTTCAACAAATACCCTTTACATTATCTAATTTTTAACTATTATAGTGAGAACTGCCAGCTCGTTATCTAATCTCCCATAATGTATCTTTAACTAAACAGTATACACATGTTTTATTATATTGGAGTATTATTGAATACAGATATTTTTTAACAAAATCTAGGACTACTCTGCATTAGAAGAAAAAACAAGCAAAATAATTTTTACATGTAGAATTTACTGTCTATGTTAGTAAATATTTAAAGCATTAAAATCGATGCATATAGTAATGTTCATATTATTCTTTATTAAAATGGATAACCCTCTTGCATTTGGGTCACACTTAAAATCTTAATTTTCATTGGAGTTTATATGCTGATATGTTTTTTAAAAATGAAAATCTGTGTTCCTAACAAATTTTACATCTAAAGATAAAGTCAGTGTTACAATTTTGTATTCTACTGTATTACTATAACTAGAAAACAATGACTTCCACTTTATCTTTAGAAAACAACCGGTTGCCATGCAAAATATGCCCACATTTTGTATTCTACTGTATTACTATAACTAGAAAACAATGACTTCCACTTTATCTTTAGAAAACAACCGGTTGCCATGCAAAATATGCCCACATTTTGTATTCTACTGTATTACTATAACTAGTAAACAAGGACATCCACTTTATCTTTAGAACAAAAATTAACTATACAGGGCTTGTGCAATTACAAATCAAAATAACACACCAGACCAACCCAATTCAATATTTTACTTTAATCGACATAACACATCAGATCAACCATATTCAATACATTATTTTAATCAAAGAGGTTAAGCTCCTTCAAGTTGGTCCATTTAAAGATATATTCCCTTGAAGTTAATTAGATCAACTAAATATACCTGATTATATATTAGTAGGTTTACAATAAAATAAATAAGAAATCCTTATCTATCAAGTGCAAGTTTAGAAGATGACTGAAACTAAAAGCTAGATTAAGCACACTGCTATAGGCCAACACACACTCACCTATCGTAAGTGAGCAGGTAAGTGACCACTCTGCTCGTTCCTAATGGTGGTATTTTTAGATTTGAAACATTATTAACATGTTTTGATTTTGGCAACATACAGTATTTCTTTATAGTTTGAATATAGTCTTTGAAGATGGTTATATAAATAGGAGATCGAACATCACAAGAATAGATCTTTAAATTGTAAACAGTATCCTATTCAGTATCTGAAATTGTATTGGGGAGCAGACTAGCTCTGTATAACACTCTTAACAATACAGGGGTATGCACATGCAACTCAAAATAACACAGGGGCCTTATTTACCGAAAAATTGAAATATTTAATTGGTTGGGGGTTACAATCCTCTTACACATTTTACTTCTTAGCCAATGAAAATTAAGATTTCTTAAATAAGGCTCCTGGTCATGATTTCAGTCATATATTTTGTTTCTTGTGACCTTCCAGTAATTAAATAAAGTATTGCTGGAGGCAAGTTAAAAGCCATTATGAGACACCACATAATATATTATGAATATATTCAATATTTGCATCAGAACAAAAAAGAATGCATATTATTACTAATAAGTCTTCTTCACTCAAAGTATGGTATATATTTCTATTGAGCCATAATATGCAATCAAAATAATTAACATTATATATCTTAACATATGCGATATTAAAATACAACAGAATTAAAGTAAGTAAGTAATAATCTACAGTTTGGTTGAATTAAATAAAATTTGACTAATTGGTAATATTCATTGAGATGTTCACCATAATGTTGGATACAATGTTCCGAATGCAAAAAGGAAACCCTCCATGCTGCACCAATAACATGGGAAAAACAGACTGCAAAATGCCCAAGATCGAACCGGGGATCTCCTGGTTAATCACTGAGCCATCATTGCTCCCAAATTTTTAAACTCATTTCACCAGAATGTTGTGAACCATGATACAACCAATTGAATCAATTCTTATAATAACCCGTTGAATTAACTGTTAATGGTCATTTCACCAGAATGTTGTGAACCATGATACAACCGATTGAATCAATTCTTATGATAACCCGTTGAATTAACTCTTAATGGTCATTTCACCAGAGTACCAGAGTGTTGTGAACCATGATAGAACCTGCTAAAATTAATTCTTATAACTTGTTGAATTAATTCTTAATGATCATGATACAACCTGTTGAATTGATTATTAATGGTCATTCCACCAGAATGTTGTGAATCGTGATACAACCTGTTGAATTGATTTTTAATTGTCATTCCACCTTAATGTTGTGAATCATGATACAACCTGTTGAATTGATTTTTAATTGTCATTCCACCAGAATGTTGTGAATCATGATACAACCTGTTGAATTGATTTTTAATTGTCATTCCACCTGAATGTTGTGAACCATGATACAACCTGTTGAATTGATGATAAATGGTCATTCCACCAGAATGTTATAAATTATGATACAACCAATTGAATTAAAATTTTAATTGCCATTTCATCAGAATGTTGTGAACCATGATATAGAGAGAGAGAGAGAAATGGGGTTTAACGTCCACTCGACACAAACTAGGTCATTTCGGGACTAACATATGGTTTAATTTTATTTCCATAATTCGCTTGCGCGTAGGGGTCTTTAGCAGTGGGAAGAAACCGGCGGACCCGGGGAAAACCAACGAGGTTGGACAGGCGACCGTACTCCTTGCCACGTACAACCGGGGATTCGAAACCACGCCAGTTGACTCAATGACAGGACTTATGATACAGCACGCACGTGCTAACCATTCGGCCATTCGGCCATCCAACCCCCGAACCATGATATAACCAGTTGAATTAATTTTTGATGGTTTTATAGAAACATACCTGCATACAAATAATCTAATCATTTAATATTTGTTCATACAAGCATTGCATTGAACATTAATAAATTATCTTCTAAAACGAAACTGTAATAATGCTATAAATAATATATAAAATATGTTAATATATTGAACATCTAATTTATTACGTTACATTCTTATGCCAATAATAATTTAAAAAATATATGTAAGCTGATATTTAGTCCCTAGTCATCTTGAGGATGCATATCAGTATCTATAGCAACACAATTATAGATGGCGTAGCGAATTCTTTCCTCGGCTAATTTGGCACTGAAAAGATAAAAGCAAAAGTTCAGTAAAACACAAATGTGTTACCAGGCAACGAAACATATGCCCACATGTAGCTAACTAAAAATCAGATAATAATTTAAGCCTCTACAGTGTTAATAGCGAGATAGAGAGATAGAGAGAGAGAGAGAGAGAGAGAGAAAATGGGGTTTAAAATCCACTCGACACAAACTAGGTAATTTTGGGACTAACATGATTCAATTTGATTTCAATAATTCGCTTGCGCAGGGATCTTTTGCAGTGGCCGGAAACCGGAACACCCCAGGAAAACCACGAGGTTGGACATGCAACCCTACTCTTTGTCACTTACAACCAGGGTATTGAAACTACGCCAGTTGACTCAATGATTGACCTTATGATACAACACGCACGTGCTAACCATACGGCCATCCAACCTCACCCCCACAGTGGTAATAGAAATTCGTAACAATGTGGGTGTAGATAAAATTGAGTTATTATTATAGACAAAAATTTCATGTGCACGCTAGACCACCCAACTCCAAAAGGCGTTCAGCAAAAATCTGTTGAGCAAAACACATTCGTCACTCAGAACACCATACTGATTTTATGTTAGGCAAGAATTCTCCAAGGCTTGCATTGTAAAATGTGATGTTTATGTAAATATACAGCGACATTTTTCAAAGGCATAAACAAAGACACAACTTTGTAAATGGGTGCGTTTCAAAATAAATTCATCAAAATAAGAGTAATCGGCGGGGACACATAATGGAGAGAGAGAGGTTACTTAACTAAGAAATAAACAGGGGTAAAGGATTTTGGGTTTTGGGAAATATTGAGGATATAATGCGGCTGATTGTAGTGAGGCACAAAAAGTTTTAGGATAATCATTGTGTTTTGTATAAAGACAACAAAACAGGGCTTCCAATAAACCTTAAAGTTCTCTTCCAAAGAACAGAAGATTAAAGATACATTATGTAAGATTTAGATAAAGAGCTAACCATTGTTGCTATAACAGTTCGAAAATAGATAATGTAAAATGAATAATTTCAAAACTTCATTCAAATTACTCTATTGCGAGCATAGATATTAGCCTTTGAAGGTTTGTCTAGATGTGTGCAATAATTTCAACCACCGTACTGGTTGTTCGAAGCTAAGTCTTGCTCCTCCATTTTTAAATTAAATCAAAATATGGCTGAACCTTTCTAATCTATTTAATATCGGAGAGTTGATTATGCCTGGATCAGTTGATTAATGTCTTATTAAAAATTTAGAAAACATTTCAGAATTAAAGAAAGACCTGCAATAGGCAGATATAGCTCTTGCATAATGTATGTTTAAATATCTTCCTTACAGTAATAATGATGTTATTCTGCTGCAGGATCAAATAATGTTAAACAATGAAAGTAGTTATAGTGTAGCTACCTACCTAGAGTAAAAAGGCAGATATAACATGTTAGCGCAAGTAGATGATTCAGGTAAACTGTCTATTGCATCACTGAAATAAACATATAACAACATCCTTTAAAAAAACTCTCTGTAGCATCTCACTAACTACTTAACTCTTAAGTGACCTGGAGGTTTGATGTAAAAATGTCATAAAACCACGTCATAATAGTAATCCATGATTAGCAGAACATTTTTATGTAGGCCGAGACAATATCACCATTTTATTGTAATTTTTCAAGAAGAAACCGTAGGATTTTTAACTGTGAAAATGTCAAACGGGAAGTAAACAAATGAGTGAAAGTTGTCTGTTTATAAGGGAAGTAACTCTTATTACACTAGGAACGTTGCATTCGGCTAACCAGTTTTTTCGATAAGTCGCCATGGGTAGGCCTACTTAACGGTAATGTTTTAGGTGTCAACGAAAGTCGACTTGGGGTAGCTAAGAGTTAAACGAGGACTTAAATCCACAATTTGTGATAAGAAATCCACAATTTCGAAAGGGATTTTCCCACTTACCAAGTTAACATACATTGTATAAAGTAAGGTAGGGTTTAAACGTCTAAGCTTTGTATTAACCACATCAGCAAACTTTCTGGCATAGTTTTGTATCCTTCCAACTACCACAGACATTAAACCAGACAAGCATGTGTCAGGCATCCAACACGTGGCATGGAACAAATCTTTCATTGATAATTAAAGAAGTGTCTTTTCTGCACAACAAACTTCCCTCCAACAAATTAATGAGTGGTACAGATACATACCTTTTCCCTGATGTTACAAAAATAGAAGCTGGTAATCTTCGTCGTCCAGTCACAAATTTAATAAATTTACTTCTATCTTCGTTAGAGAATTTCTTTAAAGCTTCCCACATATATTTAATTCTTTCATCTGTTTCTTCTACTTCATCATAGTGAGCTAAGGAAAAAAAAAAGAATCTTATGTACATATTTCATTATGAATACACATACGTATCACAAACACTTTTCTGTTCTAAATAAAATCAATCACGCATTGTGTTAGCTACCGTGTGTCATTGCAAATCGAAGATCAGCAAGAAAACTCAATCATTGCATACTAAAACTAAATCAAATTTGTTTTCATTGAAACAAAACATTTCTTATTAGCAAAAGGAACAAATACCATAATAAGTTGATGTATCATTTAAAGCCACACCACAAATTTTCATTAGTAAAAGTCATTAGTTCATACATGAACCTTATTAGTTTAACAGTGTAACAATCTGCATTGAATTGACAAAGTTTACAAAATCTGCATTGATAAAATGATAAAAGAAAATGCCAAAGTTAATCAAACTTAAATTGATAAAAAAAAATCCAAAATAACTTACTTGATTTTTTGAGTGCTTCTAAGGATATTTTTGGATCTCCACAAACTCTACTTTCAACTTCTTGCCATGTTAACAGATCTAAAACAGCTGGGGGTATAACTTGTAATAAACCACTTCTTATATAGGTTATCTATAATTAAACAATACATGTTTAACTTGTGATAAACCATATCTTATATAGGATATCTATAATAATACAAGAGAGCGAGAGATGTCCACTTGACACAAACTAGGTCATTTCGGGACGAACATATGGTTCAATTTCTGTGCTTGCGCGTAGGGATCTTTAGCAGTGGGAGGAAATAGGAGGACCCGGAGAAAACCCACAACCGAGGAATTGAAACCAGGCCTGCTGACTCAATGACAGACCTTAAGATACAGCGCGCACGCACTAATCATTTAATTTCAGTCATAGGTGATAGCTAGTTTTCTCTTTTTCATGGTGCAGAGTGACAATGTTCAAAAAATTTACTTTCTTCTTTGAAGTGTGCACATTAAATAATCTACATAGATAATTTATAACATATGTCCTATATAAAAGGTTAATAAAATTGACTAACTTGATCATCGAATTCCTTCATTCTGGCTTCCTTAACTTTCTCACAATATTCTTCTCTGTCTTCATATTTTAATACAAGAGGATTTCCACTCTCATCCATTTTTAATATCACAGTTGTTCCATTAGCTAAAGTTAAACTCCATGATCTTGATGCAGATCTGAAGGTCACAGCATCCATCTTTTCTAAGTCATCAATTAATTTTGTCTGAATTAAAAGAAATTGGTACCAATTGTATTGTCAAAAGTGATGGAAGTATGTTACAATTTGTAGGTTAGTCACGAAAATGCATAATTTATTTTTTAAAACAATATCTTATTCAGGTTGTATGAATGGGATTGGGAAACAGACTTAGCCTATGTAAAACCCCTCTCCCTAAATAATATATCATTATTATTATTATTAATGTAAATGGGTGTATATACATAGTTAAAATAGTATTACTATTAACTCAGTAAATATGATCTTCTTAAGAGCTAACTGACAGCTAACAATAAATCTTAACAATGCAATCCATGTGCATTGGGGGATAACTTCAAACTCCTAACTGTATCAAGCAGGTGTCATATGACCTACCATAATGATATATGAGCAAATACTTCCTTATTATGTCTTATTTGTAGCATTTGAAAATCACATTGGGGAAAAGTTATAATGTTTTTATTCTCTATAATGTACTTGGAGTTGACCTATTTGCATAAGATTGCGAATAAATTCATTTTTATTTAACACAGTAGCAAGGCAGTATAACAACTGATTTTTATGGATTATTGATATGGTTACCTGAAAGGCCTATTTGTGAGATTAACGTATAAGCAGTAAGCTGGTTGACTGAGACTATTGTATAGTCTTGGACCACCAATGATAGGTGTGGTTTATAAACTCGTATATAATTCCTACATTATATTGCCTAAATTATGATTCTGATCAGCTTCAAATCTTAAAATGGAAAGCTCTATCATAAGCTCAACATCTCAATCTACAGGTGTACTGATATATTAATGTCAATATTCAGTTCAACCTATCTAATCTAAACCTTACCGTCATACTGTCAACAGTTAAATAGTCACGACTCCAACTCAAACTCTCACCAATTAATTTCTTCCAAACAAATGATGATAATGTTAAAACCTAAAACATAGCAATCAAGAATTAAGATACGGTTCTGACTCCGCGAGTTTTAAAAAGAAAAGTGCCAGAAACTATGAAACGGGGCGAAAACACTGAATAATTAAACTATATCAATACCAGCTTCCACATTCTACATATTGTATAATAGTTTCTCAAGTTATGTTTTTTGTTAGGGATTATCTTATGTGGAACTCCTTTAAAGTAGAAAAAGAGACAGAAATGGGGTTTAACGTCCACTTGACACAAACTAGGTCATTTCGTGACTAACACATGGTTCAATTTTATTTCAATAATTTGCTTGTGCGTAGGGGGCTTTAGCAGTGAGAGGAAACCGGAGGACCCGGAGAAAACCCATGAGGTTCGACAGGCGACCTTACTCCTTTTCATGTACATCTGGGGAATCAAAACCATGCCATTTGACTCAATGACAGACCTTATGATACAGTGCGCACGTGCTAACCATTCGGCAATCCAACCTCTTCTTTAAAGTAGAATGCAAGAGTCTTGTAATGTAGTCCCTTAAAATGACATTACTTATTGGTAGAATAAAATTGGTAAAAATTAACAATAGAAGTTATTAAAAGTCATATTAAATTATAACATACCAAATTTTCTCTTCCTCTAAAACAGGCCCCCATGAGTTGACCTATCCATATATATTTATCTTTATCTGTACAAGTTGAGTTTGGTATAAAAACATCAGTATTAACATTACCATCTTCTTGTTCCTATAAACAATATATAAAATATATAAGCTACAGGGAAAATGGGAGTCCTTAAGAAAAATGCAACTAGGCCTCTAATTTGGGTTGGCAGCCACAATGGCTTAGTGACAGCCAGGTTTCCACTTGTCAGTGGTGCAAGACAAAGGACTTGGTGAGCAGCATTATCTAGTTGTTTGGACTAAGGTAAAACTGAGATCCTGTGCATGTAAAAGAACCTTGGCTAAGTGACAGCCTGGTTTCTACTTGTCAGTGGTGCAGGACAGAGGACCTGGTGAGGAACAGTATCTAGTTGTTTGGACTTGACGTAAAACCAATAAAACCAAGATCCTGTGCACGTAAAAGAACCTTGACAGTTTGAATTTGCTAAAGAGTAGGCACAAACGTCAATGTCTGGGTAAAATTTCCCTGTTGCCACACAGCATGGCAATCTGATTACAAAGCAGATCCTATTCCATTTCGTTTTTTTATAGTCCATAATTTCGTTTTATTGGTCTTCACAACACTAGGATCTGGAAGAGTTGTTATATAACACACGTTCTGGTTGAAGTGAGGGATTAGCCAATGAAACGGTATGTTAAGGCGAGTTCTTGGCAGCGATGCACGGAACATTGGGTAAACAACTAGAAACGTTAACGCTGATTGATTAATCAATGTCTGACATCAAATGAACAAAAGCTGCTTATATGACTCCTGATGCGATCTTCCACTACAACTGGTCAGATCTTTATGTAGTGTAGAGCATTAAAAGTATAAAGTATAGCCTGGTTAGTGCAGAAAAGTAGAACCATCATTTCATTTCATTTCCATGCAGCACTGACATAGCGAAACCATGAGAGAAAATCCTGATTAATGTCTTACTCACTGCTTTCCATTATGGTATATTGCGACCATACTATATTTTTTACTAACCTGATTGGGTGCTCGTATAAAATAAGGAAGTGGAATGGGACTATCAACAGTGGAGGGACATAATTCTTCAGCTAAATCTGATAAACTATCACGGAATCCACCACCTTGGTCGATTATACCTTCTGATATAAATTTACATTCCCACCACTGATCATGTCGATGTGTCCACCTGAAATTATTTAAAATTCAATCAATGCAATACATAGAAGAATTTAACCCTGAATTGTCTCCCGTGCCAAAGAATAGCTACAGACATGCAGCTAAAAGTCATTTACCGATGGAATCAGGGCTCAAACTAGGATCAATTTTTAGGGAGAAGTGACTTCTCCCTACAGGCAAAATAGGGAGAAGTATGGGGGATCTAGGGAGACTACAAGAAGAGGTCAGATTTCACAAATTTCAACGGTAATGGTACCATTCCATCTTGTTCCGCAATTTCACCATCTAAATTTAATTCTAGATAACTTTTATGCATTTATTGTGGTATAACAAGATCACATCAATATCAGCATTTACATGTATCAAATGTTTAAGCTTGCAGGTAGTCGAATAGATCCTATATATATAATTATGCTAGGTAGCCCTAAATGTTTCCATTTCTTGCTTTAAACACACCACTGAACCAGAATTAAGAAATTACTAGTTGTTTAAATTTAGGATAGAAAGCAATGGGAACTAATTAAACTATACACTATGTAAATGACATCAAAAACATTTCCCTAATAAGGAACAGACAAAATAATCATTTATTTAGATACGAATTCGTTCTTTTACTTTAAATTTAATACATACAATATAGTGCAAGCTCAAACTACATTTGTGTAAGTCGATGTGTAACTTGACTTGTAAGTTATAAGTAAAATAAATACGTGTTGACGTCTGTGGTCCATGCTAAAAATAGATATATCAATATTGGGCTTTCATAGACCTTCAAGCACTAATTATGGCATTGTATGCAAATTTCTATGAATTGTATTCATTTTATATATAGTCTCTTTGTATATAGAACAAAAACAAGCCTGTTTTCGTTGATAGATCTCAATACCACAAGAAAATATTGTATCCACCGCCATGTTTAATGGGGTCGTTGCTGATTGGCTACAATTTTCAGAGTTGGATAGAGGTTGCAATGGAGACAAAATAAATAGATTCCTTGGCTATATTTTGAATTATTATTGTTTTTAGATGGATTTAAATTAACTTTAACAAAATAGTTAAAATAGCCTTGCCTAGTTTCTCATATAAAGATGTAGAAATACGTCTCCCAAACTTATTCACAACATGTCTAATTTTCACATTTCCCTTCGAGCCTCACAGTGAGTCACACGTGTTTGTTTATGTACGGTAAATCTGTTCCCTTCACTAAATATACGGCGACACGAGGGCGACTTCAACTTCGCCCTAGGTTCTTTGGAGGGTGAAATCAGTGGTGGTTGGGCGACTATTTGAGCCCTGGATGGAATTAGTTTTATCACTGGGTGACAAAGTCAGTATATTTTATTTGTAAACTTCTTTTAATTTTGGGTAGCTAAATGCACACATGAATTACCTAGGCTCTAATACGAAATACTATATACAGCCAAAATGTTTGATGCTAAATGATGTTTATATTTATAATGCACTTTTTAGAACATCAGGTACCACTTCCCATTTGTTATGCATTTATATTAATCTACTGTTGAGTAACAAACAACCAGATTGGTATCATTCATTTAGAGATTAGATATGTATTACTCTACCTATAATCTAAGGGTTTTGCACTTCTTTCTCTTGGTTTTAATCCATCATATAGTTGAATAAAAACACTACTTTTACAGGTGGGGTCGTTACTAGGGTTACACCGGTGTTCCATAGCTATTCTACGATTTATATACACAGTAGGTTTCTCAGGAGGTCTGAAAATTATAAAATGTTTAAAATATAAGAAATTCAATTTGTATAAATCTGCAAAATTAATGTTCAAGAAATACATCAATGGTGTTTTAACAGGCAATCCCATCCCAACTCTCTTATATGCTACTAGTAGACTGGCCTAAAGTCTTTGGAAATACTAACTTTCTCATTATACTGTAGTAATTTGATCAAGTTTTGTCATAGACTGAATGGAGGGAGTGAGGGGGGTTTCCACAATGATTGACATCTCAAAAGAATCACTTAATGACATTACCAACCGATTCAAGGCAGTCATTAAGATTATTTTCCATAGCAACAGTGCCAGTGGCTATGAAATGAAATGGGATTTAACTAGGTCTCACGAGAGGGGCACACCCAGGGCCCATAAGAGTCTATGGGGCCCATGAATATCAAAGTTTGAAATTGAAATGGGCAATTATGCATGCTTTATTGCAATCAGCTAGTGAATCATCTAGATATGACTAGTGTTGGAAAGAGAGAGGGGGTGGGGGGCGAAAAAAAGCACATTTTTTTTTACTCTCTCGGGCTCTGGGTTTAAAGTCCAACTGTATACTTACTCATTTGCTGAATCTTTTAAACATGTATCTACTAAAGACATTCTTTTCTTAGATAGAGGTAGCAGTGGTCGAATTCCCTGAAATAGAAAAAAACAGTGTATGTTAATACTTGAGTTAAGAAAAAATAAGCATTTACACATAACATGTAGTCCTACAGCTCTTAATTCAATGGCCTGGATGGGACAAAAAAAGAGGTCCAGTGTACACATTGGGGTGCATGTAAAAGATCCCTTGACAGATGGAATTCAATATAAAAGTAGGTCGTAGTGCTGCTGTCCGGGCAAAATTGTCCTCATAACACACTGTATGACATATGCCCGTCTTCATTAGCCCAGTTGGAGCAGTTGGTATTATTGACAATAAAGTCACATGCTGTACTTGGGATTGATTTGATTAAACAGGAAGAATAGACACACTCCCTCAAAAAAGCTCATGTATCAGAAGTCAATCCAGCAATGGCCAGAGAGGGATTTCTCGGGCAATTGCTTCCATAATATGACATATTCTTGATACAGGTAATTTCCAAGATGTAACAGCCAATCTGATTAAAACACAGATCCTATTTCTTTTCATTTTTTTATAGTTCAAAATGTTGTTTTACTTGTCTTTACTACACTAGGATCTGGAAGAGTTCTTATATAACCCGTGTTCTGGTTGAAGTGAGGGATTAGCCAATAAAACGGTCTGTTACAGTGAGTTCTTGGCATACGGTGCACGGAACTGTGGGTCCTGGGTATCCTTCTAGAAACATCAACGGTGATTGGTTAATCAAATGTCTGACATCATAGGGTCAAAAGCCGCTCACATGACCCCTGACGTGACCATCTTCATTTAGTGGAAGTCATCGAAAGTATAAAAAACGAAACGAAATATAGATCTGTATTCTAATCAGATTGTGTAACAGTGGAATTTATGTCAGTAAAATAAAGAGACTGTAAGACTTAATTTACCGCTAGTGGATTTTTTGAGCTTGTAGATGTATGCCAGGATGGAACCAGAAGTTGAAGTACACTGTCTAATAATACCATAAACCTACAAATATACATTCACAATAGATATAGGTCAAATAAAAAAGATAGGAAAAGTAGATTGTTAATAACTACATGTTATATTTACATATGTATCAGTCCAAGAGTGATTGTTTTCTTGGTACCATAATGAACCTGCAATTCCTTAAAGGCTTTGGGCCAGTGGTTTAACCAAGAATTTACTTAAACATACATTATGCAAGAGCTAAATCTGCCTATTGCAGGTCTTTCTTTAGGCCTTAAATGTTATCTAAATTATTAATTGGGCATTAATTAACTTATCAAGACCATAGTCAACTCTCGATGCCATCATTAGCCAGTGAAATTTAGTGGATTTGAATACGTTTTGTGATGGATGATTTAATGTAAAAATGGATAATCAAGACTTTGTTTTTTATCGTACCAATGGTAGTAATGATGGTCGAGGCTAGCCTAAAATTGAATCGCTAATATCTTGGTTCAGAGTGAAGCAATCTGACTGAAATTTTCAGCATATTCTGTTTTCATTATCTCTTTTTTATCTACTATAGCGAAAACTGTCCTCTAATCAAAAGTTCTGAATTTTCAATAGGATTCTCCCTTATGACCAAATGAACAATCTCTGCCAACGTGAGAACAATCCATCAAGAACCCTAACCTATAGAATAATCACAGGATATTGTGGACAATAGACAGAAAAATGGCAGTAGATGACAACACTTCAATGAGAGAGCGCATTAAAATCATCAAAAAAATCGATTACGAATGTAGTTTATATAGCAATTTTGGACCAACTGTCTGACAGAGACAATACAGAAAACCACATTTAAATGTGAACATATAAAAAAATAAATCTAAAATAATTTGAGCAGATAAATCAAACCTTTGTATAACTTGTGATCTACGATAAAGTTGATCTTTACTATAAGATTGCAGCAGTGGAAACCGGATCAAATTTTCACTTGTAAAAAAATCTATATCAAAACCATGATTCTTCTCACCAGTTGCTGTTATTTTTATTCCCCTTACTCTTGTATCAATTCCACCGGCTGTAAACAAAAATATGTTATTTTTGAATTATGCAAAATAAAATGAAATGTGGTTTACCGTCCTACTGTTCTGCACTGACTGGGCTAATGAAGATGGGCTTACGACATACAGTGTGCTATGAGGGAATTTTTTACCCAGACAGCGACACTATGGCCTACTCTTATATCGAAATTCCAACTGCCAAGGGATCTTTTACGTACATGCCAATGTGTACACAGGACCTCGTTTTTTTTCGTCCGATTTGAATGACAAGACAGCTGTCCTTGTCAGTCCCTCCATCCTGCACCACTGACTGGGGGAAACCATGCCGGAAAATCCTGATGAACTTTCTCGGCCAACATCGGAATCGAACCTGCGACCTTTTGAATCATGTAGAGAAATTTTTGTACTCTGTAAAGCATTTTATACAAATCTGAGGATATAGAATATGCTGTGATGTATTTATCTCTAACATTACACTGTCTAAAGAACACATATATTCAACACTTAGCTAGCGCGGATCGAACTAGCAAAGGTTTATTCATAGAACTAGCACTTTTTTCCTCTGTGCGTTTTTTCTTCCTGTTGTGTTATTTACTTCAATGAAACAACAGATGTTTTTTTTTAAAAAAGAATCTAAAAACAAACCCAAAGTTTGTAGTATACTTACATTTACATTCTTTAAATCTAATTTTAATAAGAGGATAATGTTCTGTTAACCCTGATAATAATACCACATCTTGTTTACCATTTATCCTGAAAAAAAAAAATAAAATGAGAAAACATTTGATAACTATATCAAAATCCAAAAATAATACTTCTCAAAATTTACATTGTTAATGAAAACAATCTTATAATATAGACCCTTAATAATAAAAAATAATTTGGTCATATTGTTACTGGAAACAGTTTCAAAATTCAGATTGCTATTAAGATGCATTATGGAAGATTTGGATAAAGAGTTGACAAGTCTCGCTATAATAGTTTAAAAATAGATAATGGAAAGGGAACATGTCGAAAAATTTCAGTGAAATTACATTATTCTATGTGAAAATATTTAAAAAGAATTTAATTAAACATGCATTAAGCTAAATCTGCCTATAGCAGGTCTTCTTTAAGGACTGAAATGTTATCTAAATTATTAATTAGACATTAATTAACTTAGCATGACCATAATCAACTCTCGATGCCATCGGATGCCTGTGGTATTTAGTGGATTTGAATACGTTTTGTGGTGGATGAAATAACCATTAAAATGGATAATCAAGGCTTTGTTTATTATTGTAACAATGGTAGTATTGATGATCGAGGCTAGCCTTAACTTGAATCACTAATATCTAGGTTCAGAGTGAATTAATTTGACTGGAATGTTCAGCATATTCTCTGTTCATTATGTATTAACTATTATAGCGAGAACTGTCAGCTCTATATCTAATCTTACCTAATGCCCTTTTATAAAACTATAATTATGAGAAATACCTGTCAGGTGTAATGGTACCAAGTGTTTTAAGATTATCAACTTCTCCACCTTGTACTAGAATCTTTGATGGTAAATAATTGTCATCATTGCTACATAATGTAATACACAATTTCCTACACAAAAACAAAAACAACAATAAACAACTGTTGAGGAAAATACATTGCAAACAAAAAGGTTCCCCACAACATTATTTATTATATAAGATGAAAGTGTGACACATTTGCCCTCACCAATGAACCTATTAAAACAATAAATGAAATTTAATTTACATCATAATGACACCATGTTTAAAGAGGTGCACAAATTTTAAAATCCTGACCTATGAGCTCATGAAATAAACAATACAAATTTTGTACAATTACGATAATTATTAACTAAAATACCTTAGTATAAGTGTTCCATGGTACCAAAAACACTTTTCTGTATTATGAAAGTGTCTGATTTACACTGTATATAAAAAGGTTGATTTACAATAATTGTTATGTGATAGAATAAGTCAGGGGAATTATTCTCTTCTAACATTAGATCACTTGTCAGAAAGACGTATCCCCTTCAGAAAAGATGATGGATTAACCTTAATTCCAAATGCTGATTAACTGAGTAAAAAACTTGAGATAAAAATTATACTTACTTTATTATAGTACCTTTCTTCATACGTAGTTGTATCCAATGTTGTCCCTGTGTACCGTCACTCTCCCAGTATGTATCAGGATCATTATCTGTTAAATTCATTGGTCCATCATCCTCCTGTCATAAATATATCAACAATGAAAGACACTGAATGACTGGGTAAAAATAAACAACGACTTTTAGGTTCCTCTCCTTTGCCCAACAACAGCTAAATTGTTGAGGCTAGCAAAAAAAATCAATCTCAACCCATCCTGCCAAGACATTCACAAGTGTTAAAGAGTCAAACTCCATGGATCACAAACACGTAATTCTGAAAATGCCCATTAAATCTTATAGGGTTCTTTTGTCATCGACTAATGAACAATCGTCATTATGGTGTAACGGTGATAGATTCAAACGTTTTATTTAATCGGATAAAAATTGTGACCTCTAGAGGATCCACAAGCTAAAAACGTCACTTTTTGTATAATTAGGGACCATAATCGATGAAGTTAGGGTCCAATTAATGCCAATATCGAAATGAAACAAGATCTTTGGGAGATAGACCTATATGTCATGTTTCATCAAAATTGGATAAAAATTGTGACCTGTAGACTGTCCACAAACAAATCGCTGACGGACAGATGTCTGGACGGATGGGGACGATGACAATATACGTCCACATAAAAATGTGAATCCAAATAAATATAAAGAGAGAGGAATCCAAAACCATTTGAACAAGCCAACAGTGAGGCTGATGTCCCCCGCTGAAATCCCGAAATAAATAGATGACATATATTAATTAATTGCATGTTTATCTTTTTCAAAAGTATCCAGCAATCAAACTGATTATTAAGTATACATTAAGTTTCATCACTCTCTATCAGATAGAATCAAAATAAACAAGGCATTGACCTAATAAACACATACACCAAGTTTGAACATTCTAGCTCAATTAAAAGTTATCGTGTCCCAAAGCATCAACCAATCAAATTGCTTATCTCTGCTTACCCTAAGCGGAAAATGCTCATCTTCGAACTCCATCAAGGCATTGACCTAATCAACACATACACCAAGTTTGAACATTCTAGCCCAATTAGGAAGAGAGTTATCGTGTCCCAAAGCATCAACCAATCAAATTGCTTATCTCTGCTTACCCTAAGCGAAAAATGCTCATCTTCGAACTCCATCAAGGCATTGACCTAATAAACACATACACCAAGTTTGAACATTCTAGCTCAATTAGGAAGAGAGTTATTGTGTCCCAAAAAGTGTGACGGACAGACAGACGGACGAACCCATTTTAATAGTCCCCTGCTTTCTTCGAAAGGCGGGGGACAATAACATAAACTTAGATGGGATCCAAGTCATAATAAACTTGATACGGTGACACCAGTAGTAGGTGTGGTTAAAAACAAAGTCATAGGTACATGTATCACAAAACCATCTTTTATAGCATCTAACGTTTATCTATATTTAGCTTATTCTTTATATTATGTCATCAAAGTTATGATGTCATTTTAACATTATGACATCATTGGTTACCATAACTAACCTTGTACTTCAAATGTATCATTTGTGTATAGTTGTATGAATTCTCTAAAGAAGTAAGTTTTTACACTTACGAAAATTTAGATGCTATAAAAGATAGTTTTGTGATACCCATGACTTTGTTTTTAACCACATAAAAATGTGGGCATATAAAAAATGAAAGAAGTTTGTAACAGCCTAATCGAGACACAGTATACTTTACGGCTTTCATTATTTGAAACACAACTAAAGCAGTATTACAGTGGGACCCTTGCTTATTATACACAACAGACATCCTGTTTCTTATACTTAACCACTCCTTACAGTGAATCACACTATAATGACATCTGATTGTATGTAATAGTATTAAAACGAAGTTACATGTAGCTTAATGTGATAATAATAGTCTTGTCTAGACAACATATCCAAATTTTATTTTAAATATTCAATTGTTACAAACTCAAATAACTAAATAAACAATTAAATAATTAATTTAAAAAAATTTCGTTTCTGTTTTGAGAAAAATATTTAACTTACACACGATGTAGAGACATCAAGTGATTCCACAACATTTTTGATGCTTCCTAGATGATCATTATCTGAAGGCATGTGTTGTGCCATCATTAAAACCAATACTTCATCATGCTGAAAGGACCATGAGGGTGGACTCTGTCTTAATAGATTCACAGCTACAGTATCCGGTTCAGGCAGTGGTGATTTATGTTCACGTAGTTGAAGTGCATAATGTTGTTCTACAATCTCATCCCAACTAACCCAAAATAAAACACCAAATGTATAATTCAAGCTACAGTTCAAGTTTGACCACATAAAAAGTTTGAAATGCTATTAGTATTAACTACATGTAGTGATGGCTCAAATTTGTATCTGAAATTAATCTGTTAAATATGCATCAAGTAAGATTTAAATAAGGCACTGGAAGTTCTTGCTATCAAGTTCAAAAATAGATAATGAAAACTGAATATATTGAAAATTTCTTTTAAACTATTTTATTCTGAGCAAAGTTATGACTGTTTGAAGATATAGCATAGATCATTCATTATAGTAGCAATGATACTTGACAACAGAGACTTAGCCTTGTTTGCCAATTCTATCATTAAATTTTTAATTCTTGTGGATGTTTAAATTCAGTCCAATAGTCTAGACAGTTGATCATTGACTTATGTTGATAAATGTCTTAAATAATAATTTATATCACCTTTGAAGCCAAAAGAAAGGCCAGCAATAGGTAGGCTTAGGTTACATAATGCATTAAAAAAAAAATCATTGTATCCATGCATGTGAGTAATATGAATTGGTATGTTAAAAAATCCAGCATTTTTATTATTTCATCTCAGAAACTCCCTTTAATGTTAAATTTTCCTGATTAAGAAGACCTTGATGTCAAAATTTAATTCTAATATTATTAAAATTTGATAGAACTTAATTATTAAAATTCATACCTAAATAAATAAGGAGAATGTTTTTTAGCAGGTACAATTTGAATAACAGGTGTGTCCTCTGATGTTTTATTGCCATACATTAGATACCAGTACTCTTCTTTTAAAATTTCTACATTAGATGATGGTGATGCTCGGAACTATAATTAAAAATATAAATTACACACTAACACTAATTATGGAATAACAATTACTGGTTTATTAAGATGCAATGTTTCGATGATGATACTCTCGTCTTTATTAAGCGAGAGAGAGAAATGGGTTTTAACATCCACTCAACAAAAACTAGGTCATTTCAGGACTAACATATGGTTTAATTTTATTTCAATAATTCGCTTGCGTGTAGGGGTCTTTAGCAGTGGGAGGAAACCGGAGGACCCGGAGAAAACCACGAGGTTGGACAGGTGAACCTACTCCTTGTCACGTACAACCAGGAATTCGAAACCACGCCAGTTTACTCAATGACAGGCCTTATGATACAGCATGCACATGCTAACCATTTGACCCTCAAACCCCCCTCTTTATTAAGCATGTGCTTGATAATGATGAGAGTATGTTAACAAACCAGTAATTGTTATTCCATAAATAGTGTTAGTGTGTTCTTGCCCAATTACAAAATATAATCTTTAAGTGGCATTTAGCGATTGGGAAACACATTAACACAATTTCTATGGGAAAACAATCACTGGTTTTATTCTAAAAGCACAACATTTTGACAAGTATCCTCTTGTACTTGATAACGATAAGAGGACACTTGTCGAAATGTTGTGCTTTTAGAATAATACCAGTGATTGTTTTCCCATAGAAATTGTGTTCTGTCAATTACTAAATGCCACTTAGAGAAATATAAATTATTAGGCAATGACGTGACAATAATATCTTAATGAAAGAGAATATCTGACAATAATGTGTCAAAGTTAATTATAAGCCTGGACATAAGGCACCTATCACAGATTTTGTCAGACACAAATTACCTTTGTCTGGCAATGTCTGTAACAGGCGCCTTTATATCCAGGCTTATACACTGTACAAGTATTATATATACAATGTGTGAAAATTTGTACTTGACAAAGTCTGTCACGGGTGCCTTTTGTCCAAGCTTGCTTTCAAGTATATGTAGATGCTCAAAATAAAGACAAAATGTCACTGTCTATACATGTAGATGTACTTCATAAAATCAAGAACTACAACATGTAACTACAGGTAACTATAGGTCTTTGAAAGCAACAATGGCACCACATCAAATCACAGAATAAGACTCTTGATTAATACTAATTTCTATAACTCTGAGTATCTTAACACATTTATAAATGTAAGGGGTGAACTACATAATATGGACTCAGATCGTGTTGTCATAATTATAAACTGGTTGGTAAGATGTATAGTTATCACTCCTTGTCCATCATACACATACACTTAATTGATCATTTTAAGGTACTGATCATTATGAGAAGAAGACTCTGGCTACATACTAGAACTGTTTGATTATTTACATTAGACACCATACCAAGGGTTAAAGTGTCCATCCCGATTTTAACAGAGTCTCAGAAATAAAAGTCCTTCTACGTATGAAATTTAAGCGCCAAGACATAGAGGAATGTTGTATTTATCTTGTCTCAAAATTTGAGCTCAAAATATTTAGTCGTTTGAACGTGAACGTCAAAACCCCTTATCCGGACATGTAACCCTTTTAAGATTTCAGGTCAATTTTTTGGTTGGGTGACCTGATAATCTATTGCCATTCCTTTAGAGGTCTGTACAGTGCACGGCCCACATGCTGTACTTGAAAACAACAGGTAAATGTCACCTACACATTATTTTTATAAAATAAAAATCTGGTTTTATCCAGGCACGGTATAACACAACTTCTGAAATTCCTTCACTAACTCCACGAGCAGAAAACTAATGCACTTAGGCCAGCCATATATTTCTAACCCTGACTGACATTTAAGACAAAAAGCTAACTGAGTCCCTCAAATGATTGGTGTAAATCCCTGGCAAAGCCATATCTGGTACAATACAGGTCAATTACTAATTAGACATTTGATTATCCTATCATTAGCCCTGAAAAATCATTAGTCTACAGCATGGACGCCTACTATATCAGGTATTATACACCAACCTGCCTGACAGATAGGTCAGATATTTCGGACTTATAAATGAGTAATTTAGATTTGTAGAGGATTTAGTCATATTGAAAAATATGTCTCCAAGCCAGTCACAGATAAGATTGGATTGGAATTTGGATAGGGTACACCTTTTCAGTGTTACACAAACCTTCACAACACGAAGCCATTTTCCATGTGAGTTACAACACTCTTCTCCACTCACAAATAGAATGGATTCTGGTGTCAATGTTAATTCTTTTGCCTTTTTATTATTTTTCTGGGGTTCACTGTAAAGTTTGATCGTGACTTTAGCTTGAGTACAGTAATACTGAACTTCTTTAGCAACGAAACACACGCTTTCTGGCATGCTCAAATTTTGTTTGAAACATTTTATACATTCCTGCACACATCGCAGTCTTGTAATTTTTCTTCTGGCTGGTGGAATATGCGACATATTTAGTTGTCAACAAATATCACTAAAGAATTCATTCAATAATTGTTTCTATAACAAATAACACGTAAAATCATTATCAAGTCACACTTATTCCTGAACGTCCGTGTGGACTACGTCACAAACAGGTGCGATGAATGACGTACGTCACTAAAAATAATGTGTTGTACGTCATTGTAATATAAAAGGGAGACAACCGTTTTGTTGAGGCTAATAAATGGATTTACCTCCCATTAATCGTAAATTATACATTAATTAACTTCCACAGAAAGCGAAGAACGAAACTGATCAGCAGGTATATGTTCGTTTGGCCGCCAATATGACTGCCAGGGACGACATCGGAGCGAATTAATTAGCCCTCGATGTTAACTTTTTTTTCCTGCAAATTAAATCATGAAATTATTTTTTTAAAAATATTAAGAAAACCATAATACAATAAAGGTGTTTGAAGGATATCTGGCTGGACACAATATAATTGGTACACAAAAAAATTAAATAAAGAAAAATTAATTTTGATTCATTTTATAATTGAACGATTCACCAATTAACTTATTCCACTTTACCCAGGCAAATTTTTACAGGAATTATCTATGGTAGAAATATACTGACTTTAACCTTTTGTTGTGAAAAATTCGATTAGTGAGGCATAGATGTGTGTGTATTATAGATATGGGAATCACACCATTGTACAGTGTAGCTAACAGGGCGATTGTTTGGATACTCTTCGTTACCTAGTTAGAGCTCTATATGAATCATAGTTAATATAGAGATAAATAGAGACGTGAATCTAGATTGTGATTAACAGTTTATATATAAAGAGAGAACGATGAGACAGTTTGATGATTTACTTGCTACGCTGTACTGATAAATACTTTGTAGACGTGACCGCTGTATGACTGACCCGTAACTGACCAATATTACTCTAGTCCGTCAACTCATCTGACACTCGTCCTTTACGTTTGACCCGTTCAAACTAATTCTGATTAAGAAGAGCCGATGGCCGCCATTTATACAATTTATATTGGTTTTTATACGTCATTGATGGACGATATCAAACATATAAATTCTTCATTAATAAGATAATCAGGAGTGCAATTATTCCATGGGCTTTCCCGGCATTTACCACCCCAACAAAACCTCGAACAGAAATGATCCCGAGTTCTGCTAAGTTTGACCAATAACCCGAATATCCTGTTTGTCCACAGCGGTGATAGCACAGTTTAAACTATTGAGCGCATTTATGTCAGCCAATGAAGCCTTGAAAGCTGCAGATGCGGATGCAAGAGGGAGCATGGGTGGGGGGGGGCGGTGTAGGGATAACAAACCGTCTCGCAAAGAACTAGGGGAGGGGCTGCATAGGCGTACGGGCTCGATGACAGTTAGGGGGGCAGAACCAGAAATGCCCGAAAAAATTTTGGGTTTACAGAGAGCGCCGGTCTTCCTTGAGAGGCGAAGAGAGCGGAGCTTACCTTGCCCCCCCCCCTCAAAAGAAAACTTTGGAATATTTGACGGCTGCAAACCCGTTTTCCTGCTATTTCAGCCCGTGAACAGTAACTTCAAAGTGGTCTAATATAACCTTATTAAGGTGGCTGACTCGAATTCCAGTCAATCGTTTACAGTCCACGAAGGCGGGACCGTGAAAATTTAACTGCCGCAAACGCGTTTTCCTGCTATTCCAGTCTGTGAATATAGCAACTTCAATTTGGTCCAATATAGCCTACCTGGCTGACCGGAATTCCAAACAACCAATCAATCGTCGCTGGGTTCGGGGGTATACCCTCCCGGAGAAAATTTTGAAAATATAACCACCGCAAATCCGTTGTCTGCTATTCTATCCCATGTAAACTCCACTCTGAATTCCAACCATCTAATCAGACTGTTGCAGCTGCATTCACAAACAATAATCGATGCCCGAAAAATGTCGCACAAAGTAGAGTGGCTCCAGGCAACATTTTTTAATCCATAGTCAACTCAGTACAAATTCATGGTATTCAATTAAAAGAAAAGTAAAATTAGTGTTATATTAGGGCTCGATAACAGTAAGGGAAGCAGAACTAGAAATGCCCGAAAAAATTTCGGGTTTACAGACAGCGACGCCGGTTTTCTTCAAGAGGCGAAGAAGTGGAACTGACCTTGTATGGAGTCCCCAAGAAAATTTTGGAATATTTGACAGCCGCAAACGCGTTTTCCTGCTATTCCAGCCCGTAAAATTAGTGTTTTATTAGATTTCAGGCACTTTATTTCGCCAAGTAGATGAAATAAAAATTTCTTTTCACTTTACCCATCTGCCCAAAAAGTCAGCATGACTTTACGATTCCCCCACTATTGTAGACTTCATCATGAACATGGACTATTTAAGAGATATGCCCCATTTCGCAATATTGTAGGTGGGGTGGGGTGGATGGCCAAATGGTTAGCACGTGCGCGCTGTATCATAAGGTTTGTCACTGACAAAGAGTAGGGTCACCCGACCAACCACGTGGGTTTTCTCCGGGTTCTCCGGTTTTCTCCCACTGCTAAAGACCCCTACGGGTAAGCAAATTATTGAAATAAAATTGAACCGAAATGACCTAGTTTGTGTCGAGTGGACGTTACCCCCCCCCCCCTCTCTCTCTCTTGATCATGGAATATGGACTATTTTTCCCCCCGGCGTTAGAACTAAGACCGCGTACAAGATCTCAGATACGTTGGAGAATACAGACAGTACACAAGAATCCCGAATTCCGACCGAGATGTGTCGACTAATGACCAGCAACTAGAAGAGTAATCAGACAGACCTTTACTCATAATTCCTTCCAATACTTATTTGTTCTTTTAATATAGACGAAATAGTGGATCTTCAAACTAATCAATTTGAAATTCAGGCGCTTTTTTATGAGGGGGGCCTCGTCGGCGACAACATATCTCTCTTCAGCATAACGTTAAAATTTCACATCCCACGTTAGATACTCAATCATAATAGGAGGAGGCCAAAGGACAGACGTGTCAAAGGTCAAGGAGAAGCGGGAGCCGATTCGAACCCATGAACGATATCGTTAAAAACAAACGCATAAATCAGACTCAAGTCTGGTAATTCTGACCTCATAAATGTCTATGGAACGATTCCGTTCAATATTAGACTATAAACTATGTTCCTGTTAGTTTATAAGTGTTTTACTATGGCTAATTTTAGGAGCAATCTACTGGAAATCCAGACACGTAACTAGCAGAAACCCCTGTGTGAAATGCACATGCCTATTAATACGTCGTGCTACGGTACACCCTGGCTATATTTGGAAGTAATATTTACGTTTATATATGATGTGAAGGATCCATTTAAAATTAAAAATATTTTATGTATATACACATTTACCGTCAATATGAACGCAAATATAGACAGGGAGCCTAGAAGCACACCAAATTCTATCCGGAACCTTAATTAAAACCACTTGTAATATGGATGGGAAATCCTCCTCTGTTCTTTTCGTTGAATAAGCAGATTGTTTTCCCGCTAGTAGATTGGGTGGAGCTTTTATAACCGTGCAATAACTAGACATGTTCAATGTTATTGCACACTTTTGCTGGTTTACACTAGTTTTAGTAGAAATCATATAGAGAAGTGGGGTGGGTTTTCTGTGCAATAACAATAAGCATGTTGATCAGTTGTCAATGTTACAAGTCATTTATAGCACGCTTTATTCGTTAACAAGTTTAACCCCTCGGCCTTTGGCCTCTGATTAAACCTGTTAACTCATGAAAGCTGTGCTATAAATATAACATAAATCATTATTTCGTACACGAGAAGAGTTTTGAGCAATGGACAGTACCAAATTTCATCGAAATCGGATGTACTGGACCCTATATACTCTTTAAAAAAAAGTAGGGGATATTGAAATGCAAATACCTATGCAGGTTGTCATATGATAAATAGTCATGGACACTTGAAATGCTTTGAGAGTATGTTCACAGATGAAGAAATTATTTATCGCCCCAACAGAACCACTGAGCTGCACATGCGACACGCAATAGCGCCATACACGTGGGAGGGGTTCATTGTCAAATTGACACTTCAAGGAAGGGTTGATGAAAACTGCCGCTTGCTGGTTTATCCTATCCATGTTTGCTTTCCTATCGGTTGGCATACGAGATTTACTGTTTAGCGTATTTTTGCTTTATTTTAATTTGATCGGGAGACGTGTTCGTCGACGACAACGTCAACCGACAACACTGCAAGCATTGGTCGTGGCACAGCAAGAGGAGTGGGTGCCCCAAATCGTGATTGGACGGTTGATTAGGAGCATACCACGACCAATTGCTGAATATCTGAGGATTGGTGGAGCAATTACTCATTATTAAGACAAAAAACAAAAACGTCCATTTTCACTTTTGACAGTGTATCTCTCCGCGAGTGAAATGGGGCCGTCAAATAAGCCGCCCACACAGTGGCGGCGCTAGCCGTCGGTGGTTGGAGGGGCAAAGCTGGGGCAAAGTTCAAGGTTAAGGGGGCAAAGGCACGAGCTTTAACTAGGGGTGGGGGGGGGCTCCCCAGAAATTTTGAAAAACAAGCTGCCGGAAATGCAGCCTGGCAGTATTTCAGGCACTGATCGTTGAGGTAAAGTGTCAAACGAACGGACTTGCGAACCCCGACGTAGCCCATTCACGAGCACCAAAGTAGGGAGTCCTTACGGAGGGTATGGAGGACCTCCCCCAGAAAATATTGAAAAATAGACTGCCGGAAATAATGTCAGACAGTATTCAATCAGGCACCGATCGCCGAGATAAATAGATCTGACCAAATATCGTCCGTCGCCTGATCACTAGTTTACAAAATGTCAAACAAAAGGGCTTGCAAACCTAAACGAAATAGAGAGTCATTGAGGGGGGTATTGGGGACCTCCCCAAGAAAATTTAAAAATAGACTGTCGGAAATGCTGTCTGACAGTATTCAGGCACCGATTGTAGAGATAAATAGATGCCGTCTGTCGTCTGATCACCAGTCTATCCGACTAAATACTTTTTTTTTCTAACATTATTGGGGGGGGGGGGGGCAAACAGATGGCAGACCAGATTTATGGGGGGGGGGGTAAATGACCCTCCCCCCCTTGCCCCCCCCCCCCCTTGGCGCCGCCACT